TCACAGCTGTCGGGTCGTTCAAACCGTGAACTTAATTACTTTTGTGAACAAACAGATCTGATGGCAAAGAAAGCCATTTTCTTGATGGAGTGTCTGGAGGAGGCCTTTCTTTCTGTTAAAGTCTGATGAATGAAAGCGGCTCAGATGTGTGTGGTGGTATGCGTTTCTTACTAAATTGCAATATAATGAGGCTCCATGTCTCGGTGAGTTTAATCCTATTGGGCCACTGGAATTCGGTGCAGGCTATAAGAAATGATGCTGTCTCGCAGATCCGGAGGTACATGTACCCCAAGCAGAAGAGCCAATAGATGATGACACATAACAGAAAAAGTACTTGATAACTTTTTACTGGCATTGTAACCATTACTTAGCATTTGAGAAAATGTTATTGGAGTTTTCCTGACCTTGATGTAGCAAAGAGAAGCATAGGGTTGCCCCTCCCCTGCTTATAGCTGCACACTGCTGCTCAGCTGGCTGAAAGGAGGCTGTTCAATGTTTCTTTTGCTTTCAAATAAAACAGAATCACCGCTGATCTCTCTTACTAAAGTAGTTTTTTTTTTTAAACTGCAGTCGGAAAACTGCGAGGGTTATGTCTGTTTAGCAGCTGTGTGCAGCTGCTAAACAGCTGCACACAGCTGCTACTATTTGTGCAGGCTCTACCTGTGCAAATAGTCTGAAAGAGTAGAAAGAAAAGTGTAGTATTTTGTGAAGAAATGTGTTTTCTTCTAAGTTATAACTTAAATATTGGTGTCAAATTAAAAAAATACCAAGAAATGAATGTTTAATAATCATTAGTTTTGACTATTTCTGCATTTCATAAAAATAGGTGAACATAAAAAATAAAAGTTCTTATTTTAAACTCAGCTTGCAGAAGGTTGTCACACTTTAAGATTTAAAGAAATATGTTATTCCTCCCCATTGCTGAAATTTATTAGCAGTTTTTATTCCCAAATTGTTTAAGGGTTTATGCTAAAATCTTCTCCATATTCTGTTTTTTTATTTATTTATTTTTTGCAATAGCCTACTGGGTATTTTTATATACGTCTCCCCTATCTTCATGCAAAAGTTATTCACTACCAACTCGTTGTAACAAGGGCTGGCTTAAGATGGCCTCGTGAATGAAGCAATACAAGAGTTTGAACTGTTTATGCTTCTTTAAAAAGGTAACTTCAGATTAAGTGGAAGGAAGTGCATTGAACCAACAGTCATCTGCAGTAGTGTAGAAGCAGTTATAGCTATGCTCCTCCTGCCTGCAGAGCTTATGAAGACCATATAGCTTCTGCTTCCAGTTAGTCCAAAGTGGGATGACTTTGTTTCTGAGTGCTGTGATGTGGAAGCAAGATGGTGAATCAATATTAATATCTCTGTTCTCTGGCCACTACAGAGCCAAATTGGGTGTTGTCAGGCGATCAATGTATCTCTCTTTTATTCATTTAAGAATAATTCAGCTTCAAACATCTCAGCCAAAAAGCCTCTTTGGCAGGTCACAGAAAAGGAACAAGGAACCTTTTTCCTCACTCAACCTTCTTTTTTATGTATGAGTTGGATGTATAAATAGAGATTATCACTGTAAATAGTCTTTCATTCTCATTTTCAGTACATCTGTACAATCTGGTTTAGATCCAATCAAATGAATCCATCAGAACACAAAGACTGATAAAACCCAGACTTACGTAGTCATGACCCAACCGTCTCTCTGATTCACCGGATCTTTGAGGTAGGCGTCTGGGTTCGCACGCGACCTCTGGTGTGTCACTTCCGTTGCTCCGCGCTCTAATGGGGAGCCCTGCTGAAAAATTCATCGTGTCACATTAAGTTTGCAATATTTGCACTGGAAAACAACCGGAATACAACTTGAGTGACGAGCAGCATTGCAACCTCTCAGGGTCAGCGTTTGCATGCAGACAGAGAGAGAGAGCAGAAGCTTTAATAAACACGAGAAGAGCCGCATAGATAACATGATGATGTTATCTATACAAGTCTCTTTTTTTTTTTCGAAAGAAGAAAGAACATCAGTGAATATTGATATAACTGTGAATTTTGCTCTATTGCTGAAAACCCTGAGAGATAATCCATAAACCATCGGTTTGTGACCTTGATCTCAAGTTCGCTTGTATCATGCAACAGGACATTGATTTATATCACACCAGCAAGTCCACATCCAAATGACTCAAATAATTCTAATAATAATAAAAAACTTTGGAGTGGCCTGTTCAAAATCTGGCTGTAAGTCCATTTTGGATGCTCTGATACGACCTTAGACAGACTCCTCTTGTTCAAAAACTTTAATGTAGCTGGATTACAACATTTCTGCAAAGAAGAGGAGGCAAAAAAAAAAATAAAAATCACAAATGCTTCATGGCTGTTTTTGCTTAAAACATTTATTATATGTGGTCAGGTTGACGTGAATAGCTTTGTTTCCCTCCTATTATTTAAAAATAAGATTATAGGTTCAAATGATCACATCTGATCATAATTCGTTTGATGATCGGCACCATTAAAATATTTTTCAAAAGTTAATCAAATATTTATAATACTGTCCAAGCCATTTGGAGGAACAGTGAGAAAGCAGTTTTATTTTGCATGGTGAACCTGTTTATTTTAAAACAAAATGAATTTATTGAGCGCTTATCCTGTACTTTAAAGCAGGTTTTTCATCACGGGGTACATCTGCTTTTTTCAAAAAGAAAATCCTCCTGCTGACTCTGGTGTTTCACCTCAACACTTTGAAACTGAACTGAGATTTAAACTTTGATTATCATATTCTCCATTGCTAAAATCTATTTCAAACAAATTAAAGTTAGCATACTTTAATTTGCTAATTAAATTGGCCCAACTCATCAGTGTCGTGAGTATATTTTTTTGTTCTTACTCCATTAAAACCTTTTTGCTGGCATTTAGCAAACTATTAGAATCACGAACACCCTTCCATAATGCTCAACACAACATGTTTTTCCCTGAATCATATTAAATATGAATATAAATCTTACTGCTCCACATTGAGGACAACACTACCTTTAGCAAATGTGAGCTTACTCAGATGTGAATTGCTCTGCTTCCATCTTTGTTTAAGTGAACTGCATTTGCTTCCTGTCTCTCATTCTTTTAAGTTATTGCCTGGCGCTTCTGGGAGTAATATACATAACTCATATAGTTCAGACACAGACAGTCATGCTTATTTCCCCCCTGATCATATGCAGACAAACAGGCTCATATAAAAGAGCCCAGCCGACATTCATGCACAATAAGCAACGCGAGTGCTACACGCAGCTACTGACAGGAGGCGTATTGATGACAGTGGATCCTTGAAGGAAGAGCTAATAAACGGACAGCGGCTGTCACTGACAGCGAGATGGAGATAGCGTGAAGGGAAGGCAGGGAGGGAAACTATCAGCCCAGTGAGAGATCAAGAAGTGGGCTGACTCCAGTGATGGAAAGATTAGGAGTAAAAAAAAAAAAAAAACACAGTAGAGAGAGAAAGGAGAGAGGGAGGAGTTGCATGTTGGCAGGGAATGAAGAGAGTCGTCATTGATCTTCAGACAGCGGCCATCATTCCTGCTCAGTGAACACAGGAGAACAGCAGAGGAGGGCAGGGAGACAGAGGAGGAGGACAGGGTGACGATCTGGACGTTTTAGTTTGGGTTTCTGTCTTTCAGTTGATTTAAATTTATCTCAAGATGTAAAGTTTATTTATTCGATGCTTTGTTTTTGTTGTTTTTAATCTGGCCAACAGTCCTAATCTAACATCTGTACATACACTCGTCATCCGAATGATAAGTGTTTTACAAATAATGCCTGATTTAATTTAAATTTGACTTGTGCAGTGAACATAAAAGCAGTCAGTGTCTTACCTAAAGTCCACCGCAGACAGATTGATCATTGCCTCATTATTTTTGCATGAAAAGGCTATTTATGTACATTTGCATGCCATTTTTGATTAATAACTGATAGCCCCTTGTAACAGCAGCTGATTCTAAGTAAAACAAAGAGGATAAAGCAAGTTATACAACAATGAATATGAAACATTGTGTATTTTAATAACTGTTTATGCGAAGGCCCTTCTAGGGATCGTCATTCCAAATTTGCCAAGTCTGCTACATATGAAATGTACATACTTATTCCTACCAAATGAATGAAATGAGAAATGATAAAGCTAATAAAAATAAACATCAAAACAGAAGCATCCAACCCCAGAAGCCTTTGCAGATAGCATTTTGCCATCAGCACGTTGCACTCTTGTAGTCTGGAAAAGAGCATGTGTGAATATGCTGAGTTCACAGCAAGCAGCCTGTGTTTATCTGCGATGGGAACGTGTGAAGTAATGAGCAGCGAGCAGATGCCAAACAGGCAGGGAGTGAAAAAAAGGACGGAATCACAGAGGAAGAAGGAAAGACACAGCAGTTGTTTCTCCTATTCATTGTGTCCTGACTCAAAACAAAACAAAACAACCCTCATCATTTGTGAGTGTTTGTCAGACAGCTCTGTTTAAATTTGATCGCTCCCAACTGCAGATGGAGGGATGGCAGACAGAAGGGAGGGATGGAGTGAAAAGAAACAATCCCAAAGCCAAACCAGAGTTGGCAGCTGGGGAGACGTTCACCACCGTACAGGAATAGATCGAGACAGAGTCGAGGCAACTGGGAGAGCGATAGAGACAGGATGGACAGCGATAGAGACAGTCAGACTGGTTGACTCATTCTTATGATGTCAGATCTTGTAAGAAGTCTCCGCCGAGCCGTGCCGACACGCTCGAGCTGGCAGCGATCCGTAACGCCATGCTAAAATCTTTGCTCTCTCAGTGAACATGTGCAGCCATGAAGCTCCGAATGCTGGCAGCGAGAGCATGGGCTAAACAGAGAAACTCGGCAGCACAGCTGATTTTCTGCTCCGCGTGGTTGTAACGTATTCCAGCATGAGAAATATCTTGGAAAAGGAAAACGCTGGGAGACACACAGATGGGTGCAACTTTCTTTGATGACGATGGCGTGCTCTCGTTGCAGTTGGCCTCGGGGCAGACACAGAGGAGCGGCTGGTGGAGCATCTCCTGAACCCGGCACATTACAACAAGCTGATCCGACCCGCCACTAATGGGTCTGAGCTGGTTACCGTGCAGCTGATGGTGTCGTTGGCCCAACTCATCAGTGTCGTGAGTATCAACGTGACTTTGTAACACTACATTTTGTAGAGTTACATCCACAAGTTGTGTGATTAGTAAAAGGACTAAAACCAAGCAGTGCTGATGATACTTTTTTTTTTATCTCTGAACTTTTGGTGCTTCTTGCACTCAGACTTAAGACTCTGTACGAATTTTCTCAAGTTGCATAATGTGTCTCTCGGGTCTTCTATTGGTCCTTTGCTTCTTTGTAGATGGAGGTCTGCTATGCTATAATGAATCTAACATAATCAGCCAACCTCTTCATGTATTATTTCCCCTAAATTGAAAGCATAAACTTCAGAAAGTTGGGGAAACTGTTAAACAAAAAAACCTTACAGAAGGATGACAATGGTTTCATTGTTTAAATGTGTTTTTGTGTTGTCTTTCAGCATGAAAGAGAGCAGGTGATGACCACCAATGTCTGGCTGACACAGGTGAGACTTCACACGCCTCATCACATCCAGCCACCTCACCAAACACACACCGAGGCAAAAAACACAAAAAAAGTGTTTTGGGTCCTGTCCACATGAAAACATTCCACACATTATACAGAAAATGGCAGAAAAATGCAAATTTATGCTTCATTTTACTCCTCCTGACCAGTTTGTGGGGCTCAGCAGGGAGTATGGGACACGGAAATAAAACCTCAAAAAGGGCAAATATGTTATTTGAGATTTTAAACTGTGAAGAACTTGGATGCTACTGAATATGGTACAAAGTAAAAATGATTAAACCTTTCTCTATAGCATTGGGATCTACATGATATAATGAGACTCAGTCATCAGGTTGTTCTCAATACAGTGTTAGTTCCTTCAATAAATTAAGTCATAATTTGAGAGACAAAAATACTTCTTAACTGTGTGTTTACAAATGAAGTGATAGAGGCTGTAGAATGCTACGTCATGTCTTCGTCTGTGCAGTCCATCCTGATCCACTTTGTGTGTCGCAAAGTGGATCTGCTCTCCACCCAGCAGTCCACAGTGGAAAGTTTTGAGTGCCATCTGTGTTCGCTCTGCTGAGGATCAAGTAAATTTATCAGAGCTCTGTGAAAGTTTGTCTGCAGTTACTTTCAGACATACTGGGGGGTTTGTTTATGTACACTGATCTGACGTAGCAATATTTCAGTGTACGTAAATATGTATTGCTACATACATAAATATGCAGTAATACATTTTGCTACATATATAGCAATATGTATTCTCTTCTGATTGTAGCAATATATTTTTTAAGTACTGCTGGATGTATAGGATGTATAAACTATGACTGTAGTACAGAGCAGATCAAACAATATCAAAGTTTTTTTTTATTTAATTTGAAATTTGCTTGTAAATCCAATGTGTGTTTATATTATACAATTGCTAAAATCTGCATCAATATCAAAATAACATTAACAAACATTATTTTTGCAGCAAAGAGTTTTTAGCTTTTTTGTTTTAATAAATGCAACTAGATTGGGGATGCGCATGTCCAGTCATGGTGAGCTTCTACCCTGCAACTTTTACATGCATTACTCCTTGAACACATCTGAATCAAATCACAGCAGCAGCTCTGCAGAGGCCTAGCAACAAGCCAGTCATTTGATTCAGGTGTGTTGGAGAAGGGATTCATCTAAAAGCTGCAGGGCAGTTGTTTTCCTGGACTTAGTGGAGGATGCTGAGGATGTAAGGAGATGTTTCGTTGTGACAGAAATCAAGAAAATATATTCTGTTGTGTTGAAACTACTTTCATATCAAGGACAAAAACCATCCTGTGGTTTCTACATTTCTCTCTGCCTCATAGTGAGGGACACACTCACACGCACGCAAACGCTTGCAACCTGAGCAGGCGCAGATTTATGACAGGTAGCCAAGCGTAGAATGACTATGAGGGCTTGATACATTCCTCACCATCAGAAAGTCGGAAAGCTGAGGATAGCCATACTGAGCCTAAACAAACTAATGATTATAGTGTTTCACGGCTGCTGCAGACAATATAGCATGGACCAAAGATCGGTGTTGTAGCGACTGCCTAAGTTTCAGTGTGGGGACATCAATAACTGCACAACAGAGAACAGTCTCTTACATAGTCTAGCAAAGAGGACAGGTTTGCTGATCTTCACTCAAACATCAATTTAAATATATTTTAACATGAAAATCGGTAAAGCGTGAACAAACCAGGGCATGTGCACATTTTTTTCCATTCACTTCTAAGAAATGAAAAGCAAATTCTCCGTTCCCTGCTGTCTTCTTGCTGCTGTGTGATTAGCAAGTGAGTGACTAAGCATGTTGTTTCTGTTGGCCCTCAGGAGTGGCAGGACTATCGGCTGACTTGGGTCCCCGAGGAGTTCGATGGAATGTTGAAGGTCAGGCTGCCCTCAAAACACATCTGGCTTCCTGACGTGGTCCTCTACAACAAGTGAGTCACTCTCTAACGCCCTTGGCCTCACTTAGAAAAGATAAACTGACACATGAATGCCCTGCAAGAGACCCAGTGAAGACATGTGGATTCCCTTTTCCTGACCATGTTCCAAGCCGGTTCTCTGGTCAGGGCCGTCCAGCCGCTATCATGAGATTCTTAAAGTGAAAGCGGGAATTAAATAGTCATTTTAAGCGGGTGATACGATGAAGTTCGCAACACATGACTGAATATGTCAACGAGAATCTCCTCTTGTTGCTCAAGCTACCATGCTGCTCCACCACCACAGAAACGTCTGAAAGATTTAATCATCTTCGCTGCACACTGGCGTCCTGTGGAGGAACAAACATGCAGCAGATGTCACATACAATCATGTAAAAGTATTCACACTCCTCAAAACGTTGCACATATTGTGCACAAGTTTCAGAAAAGAAGGCTTAACATTTGAGCCCCTTTTTAGTGCCACTCCTAAATAAAGTCCAATGTATCCTATTGCCTTCAGAGTCCATCTCTGTGTAATTCAGTCTCAGCCCACATACAGCTGCTCTGTGAAGTTTGATAGAGAGCATAGTCCAGGGGTGGGCACTCCAAGTCCTCGAGGGCCGGTCTCCTGCAACTTTTGGATGTATCTCTACTTCAACACACCTGAGTCAAATAATGAGGTCATTAGCAGGACTCTGGAGAACTTGATTGCATTTAGGAGGTGATTCAGCTATTGGATTCAGGTGTGTTGGATCAGGGAGACAACCAAGAGTTGCAGGACACCGGCCCTCGAGGACCAGGAGTGCCCACCCCTGGCATAGTCGGACAAACAAGTGAGGATGACCCTGGAGAGGTCAACGATAAGGTTGTGGCCAGAAGAACATAAAGCAGACAAGCAGTCAATAGACTTTTGGTTACTCTGGAGGAGCTGCAGAGAAATCGTCAATGGGGCAACTATTGGTTGTGTATGTCACAAATCTGGCTTTGAAGGAAGAGTAACAAGAAGAAAGACATTGATGTGAGAGAGCGTTCTGGAAGTCTTGTTTCAAATTGATCACAAACCATGAAGGGACAAAGTCAATATGTGGAAGAAGGTCTTACAGTTAAACGTACGTGAAAAGCATAACGTGTGACGAGAAAGCGACACTGCAACTAACACACCGTGAAACACAGAGGTGGTAGAATAATGCTGTGGAGATGATTTGTTTTGGTTTTTTAGCAGTGTCAGGGAAACTAGCTAGAAAAGCTAAACACAGAGTAAATGTGAAAGAAAAGCTAATCGAGTCTCCACAGACCTGAGACTGGGCTGAAAATAAAGTCCAAAGAAGAGAGAAGAGAGAGAGAAAAAAATGAAAGCAGGTAGAGAAATACCTCCTAATGTTTATAGCTGAAACTGCAGCAAAAGATAGGTTTCACAAAGGAGTTGCACAAGGGCTCTATATGTCTGAAGATGTTTTGTTATATTTTTGTCTATGGCTCTGTATCGTCTAATATTTACCTTAAGCTGCAGCTGTGCTGTAAAGGCTTTCATAAAGCCCGAACATATTAAAGTGTACAAAGACAGTTGAAGAGTACATACCTTCTCAGATCTTATGAGTGAGCGCTGTATTTTTGTGTTTTTATAATATATTGATTAAACGCGCTTAATTGTGGCTATATCTCATTAATTAGAGTGATCTAATTAATGTGGGAAGAGGGAGGAAAATACCGCTTTTGTCATTTTTTTTGACAAAGATTGCTAATCATGCATATTGATAATAATGCATATTGATAATCATGTATATTGATGTGCAGTGCATCAGAGCTGCAGTGCATGTGGATGAAGCAGACCTCATCAGAGTTCATTCGTCTTCGAAGCCATGCGCCTGAAGAGGGTTTGCTTGCATTCAGGATGCCGCAGATGGCTTGTCTCAGTGTAGTGGAAACTCTGTGTCAGCCTATGGTTTGCAAATCAGCTCATCAGAGAACAGTGATCTGTGTGACCTTCTCTTCTTTCGTTACTGAAGTGATGATTAAAAGATCACTGACCCACCTCACTCTGGATAAAGTGATCCTGATAATCCTGTGCACCCCAGGCCAGCATGCTAATCCCCAATTCTCAGCTGCTGTCGTTTTCTTGAGCAAAGGGATTATTTCACTGTGTAACAGCATCAGAGATATTGTTTGCAAATTCTGAATTATTTCTGAGTTAATGCTCTTGACAGAACAGGAAAATAACTACTGGTTACTTTTCTTGCATCACATTTATTCCCAAATCTGAGTTTACATGTTTTTAGGTCACTCCAAACTAAAGAGTTTGTCTTGTGCTGATCTTTTTAAATCCATCCCATCAATGAACTTTGTTTCCTGTTTGAACCATCTATTCACTTAATACCTTTATCTTTTTCTTTGAGTTGCTCTTCATAAAGACAAAGGTCCATCAGTTCACTTCAAAATGATGAAAATGTTACTCTTTTGAAGTGGAGGAGTTATGAGTAGACAACAGCTGGTATAATCTTGTCTATAACTTTCATCAACTTAAGATTTTTATGCATAGACTCATATATGGCGTGAGAATAGTGTTGGCAGTTGAATCTGAGACAAAGATAACCAGTGTAAATATAAAAGCTACTCAAACCCATTTGTAACTGAACTGTCTTCTCTCCCATAGTGCGGACGGGGTCTATGAGGTATCCTTCTACTCTAACGCGGTGGTGTCCTACGACGGCAGCATCTTCTGGTTGCCTCCAGCCATCTATAAATCAGCCTGTAAGATTGAGGTGAAGCACTTCCCTTTCGACCAGCAGAACTGCACGCTGAGGTTTCGTTCCTGGACCTACGACCGCACAGAAATAGATCTTGTGCTTCGTGCCGACGTGGCTAGCATGGATGACTTCACGCCCAGCGGAGAATGGGACATCATTGCCCTGCCAGGTCGACGAAACGAGAACCCGGCTGACCCCACCTACGTGGACATCACATACGACTTCATCATTCGCAGGAAGCCGCTGTTTTACACCATCAACCTCATCATACCTTGTGTGCTCATCACCTCACTGGCCATCCTGGTCTTCTACCTGCCGTCCGACTGCGGAGAGAAGATGACGCTGTGCATCTCCGTGCTGCTCGCGCTCACCGTCTTCCTGCTGCTGATCTCCAAGATCGTCCCGCCAACTTCACTGGATGTTCCTCTGGTGGGGAAGTACTTGATGTTCACCATGGTTCTGGTCACTTTTTCCATAGTTACCAGTGTGTGTGTGCTCAACGTCCACCACCGCTCACCCACCACGCACACCATGCCTCCCTGGGTTAAACTGGTGTTCCTCAACAAGCTTCCCGCCTTGCTCTTCATGCGACAGCCAAGGAACAGCAGCGAGCGCCAGCGGCTACGCCAGCGAAGGCGAGCACAGGAGCAGAAGGAGGGCGGGCGCAGCGGGGAGCCAGCGGCCCTGATGGTCGGCCTCGGGCTTGGTGGCGGTGGTGGGAACGGAGGGGGGACCTCATCGTCTGTTTTTGGGAAGGACGACGGGGACCCTTGCACGTGCTACGTGAACCGGGCGTCCGTCAAACAGTTTGGAGGGGACCTGGTGGGTGCCGGAGGGGGATCAATGGATGGTCTGAACAGAGTGAGGGAGGGCCGGGAGGGCAGTTCTGGAAACCTGCCCCGGGGGAAGCAGGCAGCTGGAGGTCCGGCTTTGACTCAGGCCTTGCTGGCTCAAGCCTGTCCAGGATTTGATGAGGCAGTGGAAGGAGTTCGCTTCATCGCCAACCACATGAAGAGCGAAGACGACGATCAGAGTGTAAGTATTTTCATAACTCTTTTCCACATCCTTTTGAATATGAATGGACATGGGATTTTTCAGTTTCAAGTATTGGCTTTGTTTTTTTAAATTTATTTATGAAGAACATCACTGTTTTAACTCCTTATAAAAAAAGTTGCAGTATTGCACTTCAAATTCTTGTTGGTCAGAGGACTATACAGTAAAATTGCTCTGCCCAATCCTGATCTGTAGTGATCAGTCAGCTGTGTAAAATGGTCAAAAGCAAGCAATGATCAAAAGCAATGGATATACCATTCACAACCTAAATTCCAGAAAAACCTCACCTGTCAAAACGCTGCAGTTTCCAAACATTGAAAGACTGTGTCAGTAAGAAACTTTCAAACAATAGCCTGTGTGTCATTAAGCACACACAGTCAGCCTGCTGCTGACTGTGGGAAACAACTTGGCTAATTGGTGAACTGACATCATCTTAGGTTTCTACCTCACTTTTCTGTGTGGGGCAAAATTATACTCCCTGAGCTTTTTCAAATTTTTTTGTGCTACAACCACAAAACATCAATTTCTGCTGTTATGATTTTGTAATATAGAACAAAAACAGTGACTAGTTGTTGAGTGGTAAGATGTTTACAACCACAATGTGGTTGTTTTTTTTTGTTTTTTTACAAATAAAAATCAGAAACGTTTGACACCTGGTTATGGTCGCCTCCTCAGAGTTAATATTTTGTGCAACCATCTTTCACTGCAGAGTCTCTCAATGTGTCCACCAGCATCTGGAGACTGAAATCTAAGTCAGATTGTCAAGGTTGTAGGTAGGAGAATGGGATTTTCATGAAATTAATAATTTAAGGAAGGAAAGGAAAATACTGACAAAAGGTGAAACTGCAATGGTATGGGATGACATGGAGATAATGGAAGTGCAGTGGAAGGAGCCTGTGGAGAACAAAGGAAACCAGGAAGTGAAGTGAGTGGCAAGGAAGCAGAGCGACGAATCAGAGGTTAACGAAGGCAGCTGGGAAACTAAGAGATGTGAAGCTGCTGGGCAGAGGAGCAAGATACCAGGGAGACAGAAAGACGAAATATGAACAAAGCAGAGAGAAAGACAAGGGGAGAAGAAACCTGAAACCAATATAGACAGTAAACAAAGAAGAAGACTAATCTAAAGTCTCCGAAGCACAAATGCTGAAAAACAGTGAAGCAGCATAAGGGATAAACTAAAACATATCAGCAGATAAACAATAAATAAAACAGGAACAAAAATGAAACTAGTCCAGGTAAATTTGGATCATGACACAGATGGGATGAAATGTCTGTGAACATCAACTTTCAAGATTCGCCACAGATTTCATGTGGGTTTGTTTAGGTCTGGACTTTGACTTGGCCATTTCAATTCTTTGTGGTCTGTGCAAAAGATGCTCTTCCAGGACTGCCCACTATCTTCTCATTACTTCTCACCATCTTCCCTGTTCCTTCTAAAAACATCACTATATTGCCATTAATTTGATCAGTTTAACTGATAATTCAATTAGTGACTAGATGCATCATTTTTAATATCAAATTGAATTGTTAATATTGTGATTTGAAGAAGAGACCTACTGTCTTTCCTTTGATCATGTTTGCAGTTTAACCTTCAGACAGATTGAGAAAGACTGGAGACAAACATATTTTGCTAAAATAGACTGACGTTAATTTTAATCCATACATCATGTGTGAGCTTTACAAAGACATTTACCCCCATATTATTCACTACAATATGTTACAATTTTGCTTGTGGTATAAAAATGGCATCAAGACAATGTATTTACATGTATTGTTCTTGTAAATGTATATGAGTCTATTTAGAATAAAACAAAACTGCTGTATTGGTATTCAGGACCTCCCACAGCGTCGGCATCCTAAAGCGGCTCATGCCTTATCAATACAGCTTTAGCATGCTTATCACTGTCGTTCCAGCATAAACAGGACGTTCCTAATCTGCTCAATAATTCATAAATATTTCATAAAACTCGTAGAAGAGACTACTGAAGTTAAATATTTCATTGTATCTTTTGCTGTCATTAATAAAATATTTATTCTTTATGTTCAGCTTTAAGAAACTGTAGCTTTGCTGTCTCTCTTGCATCCTGAGTAAGCAGATTTTTCTTGGTGCGATGTAAATTTCCTCCGGCTAATTGCTCTGCCAACACACGGCCTGTGATGACAGTTTTTGCCGATGCTGTCAGCTCGCCTGAGTGTCACTTTGATTTAACTCCTCGTGGCTGTGTGTGGATCAGCTTAGCAGTGAGTCATTGTCTTTTATCCAAGTACATTACCAGCCATTATGGTTTCCTGAGCTGCTCAGATGAGTGCCATATCATGTTGTGTGGCTGCTCAGCTCCGTCATTTAACTCTGCCTTCTGAAAATGCACGGGTTGCTGGAACAGAGCAGCAGCAGAGCAGACAGATCTGATGATGCAGCCGTAGCCCGACGACTATCCAGCGCGGTATGTAATAATAGCAGCAGCATGACGTGTGCATAAAGAAGTGGGAAAAGGCCGAGTCGCTGAGATGGAGGAGTGAGGGTGTAGTGGTTATTTATTTTTTTCCCACTGCTTTTTACCTGGAAACATAGAAAAGAATACAGGAGTTTACAATTTGTTCTGATTCGGCCCATCACAAGCGTTCTTTCTTTTCTGTAGCCTTGAAAACTGAGTTCAAATCTTTCCTCTCGTTGCCCAGTGTGTAATTTTTCAGTTTCCCCTCCCCCCTTTGCTTTTCCTCCCTCCTTTGCTCCCCTCCTCAAGTTATCATCACAGGGTTCAAATGTCGGCACCCTCTCTGTGTCCTCCATCCCCTGGGTCTCTTACCTTCCTCTCCTCCTCGACTCGAGTCAAACCTCATCAGAGCTGTGTGCCAGAAAGAGTCTCAACTCACATTAACCACTCACCTTCATTAACCCTGCGCCTGACTGCAGAAAGGGGTGCCGACAGACAGAGACGGCAGAACGCTGGATTCTGCTTACGGGGTTTTTTACTTAGTGTTAATAGATAAACTTTTGCAAATTAAACACAGCAACAAAGCAACATCCCACGTCAGAACAGGAGCAGTAAAATGCATTCCCTAATAGATGAAGTGGCTCCAGAAAGCCTCCTTGCTAAACCTTTTCTGATTTTTAATATCCACAAATGTACATTTATCTAAACTGAAACTCACAAAAAATGTGTTAAGAAAAATCTAACATCTCAAATCACCTTGAACACACCATTCCAATGGTGAATCATGATGCAGGTAGTTTCATGCTATTGTGATGCATTTCTCTGGGAAGGATGTCAGAGGCTGCAGAAGACTGGGAGGCATTAACCCCAAACACACAACTGTAGCGACAACGGAGAGGTTCAGATCATAGCATGTTTAGTGTCTGAATGTGGTTTTTGTCCAAACCTAAATCCAATTGGGAATCTGTGGTCAGACTTGAAAACTGCTGTTCAGAGGCTCTCACCAACCCATCTGTCTGAGGTTGAGCTGTTTTACAAAGAAGAAAGTGCAAAGATGAGCAAACCTGGTAGAGACAAAAAAAAAAAAAAAAACAGTGTCTTCTGTAATTGTAGCAAGAGGTTTTCAGCATGACCTGGTCTTTTCCTTTGTGCGTCGTTGTGGATTGGTCTGTCATATAAACTAATACATTCAAATGTGTGTTATAATATGACAAAATGTCATAAAAAAGGTTATGAATACTTTTGCAATTAAAATTTCAGATTTGCATTTTAGAAAGGTCAAACATTTCCTCAGGCTGTTGACCTGGATGTCACATTTATGACCCTGTTCTCAAAGCCAGCAGATAAACCCAAAGGGGATTTCAGTGTGAAGAAATGTAATAGAAGCGAAGGAAAAAAGTCAAAAAGAAAAGAGTGAAGTCGCTTTGTGTACAGTATAAAGGTCATGGAGTAAAATATGGAGCACTTATGTAATGTCTCAGATTGCAATGTGGCAGGTGAGTATTTAAAAGTTGAAGATGTGAAAGATATTTCAGGAAAAGAATCCCAGACCTCTAGACAAGTTGTCATTTTGGAAGGTTCCTACACTGTGGAAGTCAAAAAAGGGAAATATTTATATTTAGGGATTTCGCTGTAAATGTTCTGTCCTTTTTCCTCTTTATTTATTTATTTGTTTGTTTGTTTATTTTGTCTTCCTTACTTACTTATTCCTTTCTTTCTTGACTTCTTTGCTTTTCTATTTCTTTCTTTAGATGTTCTTGGATTGAACACTGATATTACATTTTTTACTGTAGACAAAGTTACTGAAAACTGGAAAGTGTAGCACATCTTGCTCTACATATGCTACACATTTACCTTGTCATTCTACAATGCTGACATTTATCTTTCTGTTTGCCCCTCTCCTCACACCCTTTTTATGGCCCATCCCACTTCCCATCTGACCCGCAGGTGAGCGAGGACTGGAAGTATGTTGCTATGGTGATCGACCGCCTCTTTCTCTGGATCTTTGTGTTTGTTTGCGTGTTCGGCACGTTGGGCATGTTCATGCAGCCCCTTTTCCAGAATTACACAGCGAAAACCATCAACATGCCCGGCTGATTGCTTCCGCCAACAGACAAGCGCCAATGACCAATCAGAACCGCAGGACAAATGACAGAGGTGGTGTGTGACGGCGAGTGTGTGTGTGTGTGTGTGTGTGTGTGTGTGTGTGTGTGTGTGTGTGTGTGTGTGTGTGTGTGTGTGTGTGTGTACTTTGGGGCAATTAGGGTTCTTAGTTTATCGTGTCTATGGAACTGGAATCAAAAATGCTATTAAAGAGCTGTCCATTGACTTTATAATAACATTTTTGTAACAAACAACCATTTTTCTTGTATGAGGTTAAATACAAGGAAAAAGACAGTGACACGCTTTTTCCTGGATTTTTTTTTTGTTGCTCTTGGAGAATTAAAACAGACTGACCTCCCGTCTCTAGTGTAAAGATCCACCCTCGTTCCTGTCCTCAGCCTTTCAGGGAGTGAGGACGCAGATTTTCTCCTTGTTGCACCCAGCCAGACAACACCGACTGCTTCACAGCAACGCCGCCACAGATGAGACTCCACGGTTGTGTTGGCTGATACTGAGCATCAGACAGTGAAGGAAGGTTCATGTTGAGCATCTTGCTTTTTGTTTTTCTGTTGTTTTTTTTTCCAAGAAATTCATAATGTCAGTGAACCGATTCAGTATTTTTCATCATAGCGTAGCAGCTTGCCACAAGCATATTGCATCGAGTAAATACTTAATATTTCTATATATCAATTCATGCAAAGATTTGTTGATGATAGAGAGATTTCAGTGTATTGTATGATTGTATAGCTATAAAAGGAATGTGATTTAAACTACTGCACAACCTGCGTCCCGCACGCGAACACTAGACGTGTAAGATCTGCAGATTAAAGGGAAACATAAAGGAGACGCATATACCGAAAAGAAAACAAGGGGGCAATATTAATGAAAAGTCACGCATGGACATTTTTCCGGGTGTTCTTTTTTTTTTCTTTGCTTAAAGTGCTGCAGACGAGTCCTGAGAAGTGGATTAAACTGAGCCAAAATGTTGCAACCGAACAGTAAAAGTGCTGAACTCTGGAATGAGATTTCTATTTTTAACCAGATGAAGTAATAAGGAGGCACTCGTTGGTTGTGCAAACAGTTATGCATACATTGAATTATCGATAAACTGATGGAGGTATTTTCAAAGGCTTTGGGATAATTATGTGTGTTAACATGGTCTCATGTCTGTTTGCTTCATGTTGTTGCCCTAATCAGACTGAGGTAGAGTGTCTTAGCTCCTCTGTCCTCATTAGAAATGCACCAAGAAAAGAAGTCGGCTGGTGACCTGAATCAGTCAAACCAGCCTGAAACCAGACAGATACTTCAAAATCCAGATATTTTTCCGGTTCAGGACACACGCCATACCTGGAGGTACTCAAAGCTACCTAAATATTGCATCTTTAAGGCACTTAGAATCATAGTCAGAGGAAGCACAGATACGTGAGAAGGTATTTTGAATAAACATGGTTCTCCCTTACATTTGAAGAAGGTTAATTCAGGCAGACAGAGAGCAACAGTTTCAGCAGAGAGCAGGAATGCTGAACGTATTTGGAAATCTAAGATTAAGGATATCGATTCTCTAAGGAATAAACGCTAATTCTGCAGGTTTTGTAATGCAAGCGCGCTAATCGCTACCACAGCATACTCAAGATAGTTTAAACTCTGAATTCTTTAATAGTTTGTTTTTTAAAATTATTGGAAAACCTTGTTGGTGACACAATTAGTCATTTTGATCAGATCTGATCCAGCTGGATTTGCGTTTGATATGCCAGTCCATTTGTTACCAGACAAAGTCATAGTAATTTTAGGTTGTCTTTCATCTTACATTATTTCCTAAATACAAATCACTTCACCATAGCGCTATCTCATGAGGAAGATTAAATTGCAAGAGTTCCAGTGCCATTCGTTCATCCTTTAATAGTGTTGTTCCTCAGGAGAAATCAGAGCCAACTTCAGGATTTCCAAAAGTAGAAAATCAGAATCGCAGGTGCATCTCAAATCCTCTTGCTCAACGCTTGAACTTTAATGTGTAAATGTGAACACCCTTCTGTATTATCACCCCTGAGAGCTGCAGCATAAAGAATGTGTGTCTTCCAACCTTTTCTTCAATTAGTCTCTGCCAAACTCCAGTCCATTTGGTATTTCAAACTCACAAATTTCCCCTATTAGTATTTCCAGAATCTTATCAGGGTCTTAGACTCTCAAGGTAAACGCAAAAGGACCTTTGCAATCACATGTGCAATTAAAATGTTAATGAATAAAGAAGGAGCTCAAGAGGATCAACTGTCCTTGTAAGTGGAAAATGCCTAAACAATTGAGTGGAAACCGAAACAGAGAACGGACTCCAAATGTTTCACTTTGAAGGAAAAGGACTAAAAACACACAAAAAAAGCTCTTTCATCCCTGTAATTGTCATCGTCTGTGAGTTTCTCGGGATTTATACAGTCATGTGGCCAGGTGTGCAGCTACACTCGCGAGGAAACGTCTCCCTCTCTGCCTCTCGACGATGGGATCACCCGTGGGGATCCCTGGCAGATCTCATACAAGTGTGAAAAGCCTTTCAGAGACCCGTGAATACTGTTGGCTGCATGGCTCTGCACAGAGAAAGTGCCGCTGCCCACTCTCTGTTTGCTCCCCTCGACCTTTTCGCTCTCCTTCCTTTTTCCACTCACTTCCTCTCTGATGATTATGCTCCACCATCCTTCACCTTCCCCCCATTCCTGACTGAAATCTGCTCACCTTAACCGTTCTAATAAAGGTTGTAGGTTCAGATTAATCGTCTGTGGCTCTTGTCGTCGTCCTTTACTCCTGAACATGTACACAAAGCTTTTGTGTGTTGCTAATCAGTTCATTTCATTTTCATTGCTCTTGCACCAGTGGTTTAGAAAAGAAACATATCCTGGCTTTCAAGTTTGGAAACTTGCAGCAACCTTTTTGCAAACAAACATGCTTTATTTCAGGAAGCTTTAGTCAGACGGGGGAAGTGGTCGGCTGAATCTGGCACATTGACAGGATGTATCAGTAATCATTATTGCACACTCTCCCTTTAAACAAATAAATACACACATGAGCCTTTAACTATTTTAATCAACCCTCAAATCACAGCAGGTGACTGCTCATAATAATAATAATGTACACTTTGTTGGTACTGCATTAGCGTTTTCAAAATCTCAGTTCTAAAATGATTTCAAACGCAAAGATTAAAATAAAAATAAAAGTTAAAATATATAATTACAGAGTAAAATGCATCAATGATGATTACTGCAATTGGATCTACACACATTCTTGTATGACAACAGGAATTTGACTTAAATCTGTATATAAACATATTTAAACTGTTGCTTTTTTGATAAACCAGGGAGTAATGCTGCCCCCTGCTGTCCATTTGCATTTGCTCTCCTTTTTATTTCGTGCTGCAATACAACAGAGCCGAGAATGCACGGTTTAAATTAATGTTTATTTCCAGGGGAAGAAACATTTAGCTTGGAGCTGTATCAAAAAGTAATTCAAGAAAAAGGACCGCAAGAAATGAAATGAGAAAAAATAATCCCGTTTACAGTCACAATGAGGAAAAAAGAATAAAATAAACAAACAAGCAACTATTACAGCTCAGGTCAGTGTGTTTTTGGGGTGTTTTTGCACTTCAGCTTCGTGACAAGATGTCTGTTGCCATTTCCCCGCAGGAGCGTAGGGGTTTTGTGTTTGCAAGAGCAGATTTGTAAGAGCCGCTCACTTCTTCTCTGCCTTATCATTGAACTCCAGGAAGAAGTCGTTACAGGCTACAGTTAGAGCTCCAACCAAGATGACAAACTCGGTGAAATCGACCTCTCCATCGTTGTTTGAATCGAGGTCTTTCATGACCTTATCCACAGCCTCTTTGTCCTGGGCATTCTGCATTTGTGAGGCAAAGGGAGTCAAATATGCATCAGCTGTTTTTCAGCTGTAATATATGTATGCATGGGTGTGTGTGTGTGTGTGTGTGTGGCTGCATGTGCTTTCTTACCCCCAGGTAGGTGCCGAGCTCCGTGGTGAGCAGCTCTTTGAGTTCGGCCCTGCTCAGCGTGTATTTATCCCCCTCATTTCCAGAATATTTGTGGAAGGTCTGGATCATCAGCTGCATGGCATTCTCCAGGGTGGAGGCGTTCTCCGAGTTGGGCAAAGACATTCTGGAAAGGAACAAAGCAGAATGGGTTGGAGATGTAGCAAAGACGGTCTAAGTGGTGCTCTCTCAGGTAGAAAAAAAAAGTCAAAAGCAGCAGCTAAAGTTTCTGCCTGCAGCATGCAGTCTTTGCTTTCTCGATATTACTCAGAGATAAAAAAAAATTAAAATGCTAAACTGATGGAGGAGTAAAAGCATTCTGTCACTGAATAAGCTAAACTGATATGAGTTGGAAACAATACCTAGAGGTGAGGCCTGTTTCCTCCCTGTCAGTTTTCCTGGTAAAGATAAAAAACAATCTTCAATTAATGTGCTGCCATGCTGCAGAGTATGGACCTCTAAAGGTTTGTGTCAGCCAGTTGATATGGGTGAAATCAAACTCTGGCCAAACAACAAGAAGAAGAGATGCACTCAGAGGCAACCTGATCCGCCTTTTACTTTAGCTCAAAACAGCAGATACGAGTGTAAGGTCTTGCCTTTCTCCAACCTGCATCACCTCTAACCTGTAAGAGGCTCATTCTGACTACTGCATCAGTTTTTTGCTTACCGATGCACTTTCCTTGTTGTGGAAAGCGCGAATCTGCAGCGTCAGAGATGAATAAAGAAGCATTTTGCAGTAGCTTTAGACACACTGTTGACCATAATATGAGGATTGCAGACTTTTCATGAAAAGAGAAAAAGGGTGAAAGCTAATTCTGTGCCTGTTTTTGCTTTGCAACGAAAAAAAAAAAACAATAACTGTGCACGATATTCATAAGATGCATTTCTAAAAATGAACTTTTTGTCATATGAAGGGAGATCTCTAATGCCAGAGACCTTGTTTGGTTCTTACCTGAATGAAGATGAAGCTCTGGCTTGATGGCGAGGTGCAGACGGAGGAGGCGGTAGCGGCTGATGGGGAGGCTCTGGACGACGGCGCCTTAAATACAACCCATTTACTCCACCCAAACCACCTCTCTCTCTCCTTCCACCTGTTGCCCCATTGCATCTTCTCCACTCTGACTTCTCTGTTTACGCACCAGACACCTGTCATACTTCAAAGACCCACCTGCCGCTTGTTCCTGAGCTACTTGGACATTTTCAGTGAAATACTGAATATATACATTTCAGAAAATTAGAATATCATTTAAAAAGGTGCTTATTTCACCTATTCAAAAAGTAAAATATTATGAAGATTTCTTAGATTGAATGTTTTTATTTTTATGCCTTACAGATTATGCAAATCCAAAATGAAGTTTTTCATAAGATTCAAATATTAAATAAGACCAATGGGGAAAAATACAATTTCTCAGACTACCTCAGTGAAGATTCTTGACAGCACAGTTGCCCAGCAGCCAGTCACCCTCCACATTGAGGTCATTACTGAAGAACCTGGCTGTTCACAGAGTGTTTTTAGAAACCATATAAATGGAAGGTAGAAGGAAAACATGTGTTTAAGTTCTTGACAGAATAGTGAAGTAAAGCTAGTCAAGAGTTTTGGGGAGATTCAGAAATTGTGGACTTCAAATGCTGGAGCTTCAAGAGCTTCAGCGATCACATTTTGTTACACTATTCCTGAATCAGGGACAATGGATTTGTGAAAAAGCACTGGAGTGTTGCAAAGTGGTACAAAATCCTTTAAAAAAACCCCAAAAACACACATAATCAAAGTTGATCAAGGTAGAGTGTGAAGTTTCCTCAATCAGTGACAGCTTGAGGTCTCATGTCATAAAATAGGTTTTTTCTGAAGTGCATTGTCAGTTCAGTCATCTGGACCCTTCTGGCGTTTCATGGATCCCTCTGCTGAAAAACCTGGACTTCCTGCGGATCACAACAGAGCCATAGGCTGGCCGCCTCAATGGCGCGTTGCATTTATTTAGTAAGTCATGCAAAGCAATCGTGAATTTCTGGGAGCAGATGCTGCACATCATTTGGACACAGTGTTTTGGCAGGTTGACACTTCTGTTAAAAATCCACTTTTGATTGGTCTTAGGTAATATTCAAGTTTTTTCAGACATTGTTTTTGTGTGGTTTTTATTAGCAGTATGTTAGAATCTCTTTAACATATGCGTTGCTTTTAGAGTTTAGTTACTGAAATAAATAAACTAATCCATCATATTTTAATCTATGATGCACCTATTACATAAGTGAATTTGTATTTGTAGTTTAAACAGGTATTACTCCAAGCAGTGAATTTAATTGTTTGCAGGTGACGACTTGGTTTCAATATGCAAGTCTGAAGCATATTTTTGAAATATTCATACCTTTGTTTATGATAACCTGCAAGTCCAATAGGATTTTCTGAACACAGTTGGCTTTTGTCTTCAGATGACTTGTCAACTGTTCACTGATGATTTATAATAAACACAGTAGTTTATCCTGTTGTGTTGTGCAACCCATTTGACTTTCATGCCAAAACAAAGAAGGGAGTTCTAAGCTAGTTAACGAGCCAAGATCAAGATAAATAACTTCATAACCTCTGTGTTTGGGTGATTGTGTGTGGACGAGGTGTTCGCAGAGGAAAAGGGGGTGGGGGGGAAATGAAGGGGGGGATCATGCCTGATATAGTATCCAGCTGGATTAGTGCAGCACTGGTGAACAGAGCCATTGCACCTGGCAGCCATACAGAGAAATCCCCATACAAAACCATCACACAAAGAGAGGACATAACACACATGAATACTTTAACAAACACCTTCATGCCCCAAACTCCAGGGCGCTTTATGTTTGAGCAAACGGCATGAAAATAAAAGCTTAACCACAGTCACTTTTGAACGGGAACAGAAACATTCTTCAAATAGTCCACTGAAGGCACCTTTCAGCAGGAACAGAAACATACTCTTAAACGGTTCAGATCACGAATCCTCCTCACTTCAGGTGACTGTGTTATAGATAGCCGACAGCATGCAATGCACGCAAGGTCAAAACATTGATGCCGAGGTGCTTTTATTTTAAACAAGCCATGAAATTTATTTTTGATTGTGCAGTTTTGGTAGGGGCGTCATCTTGCTCATGCGTCTCTGCCGAAGGATATTGTGTCAGTGAGTGGGGTGGTGTGGTGTGAGCTCATGCTCCTGCACGCCATAATATGTGGATAGTGTTGCAAAGAGGCAGGATGGGGCACAATAGGAAGCATACTGTGTGTCAGGATCTGGTTGCAGCAGTTCATGCATCTAACGGCCGGTGAGTCTGGCTCGTCAGGGAATTCACAGCTATATTTAGCAAGTGCGGCAGGTAAGGAGAGGGGAAGATACGCAGCGAGGCATTATAACCTATCAGACAATGTGGCGAGAAACTACAGTGTATACAGCATCCTCAGTGTTTGCCTGCATCCCTGGTACTAATGTGTGAAAAGCACTAAGTTAATATTTTAGTGTAACATAATCTCACAGTAAAACATTTTGGGAAAAAAATAAAAAATATAATCTCCAATTTGAGCTCCAAAGCTCTAGTGTTAGCAATTCATCTCTTCTTGTTTGTCTTATTAACAAATATGCCTGAAAGTGAAGGAGCCATTTTTCTTTAGCACTCCTTAATATGGGTAAGACAAGAAAACATGTTGTTCCGTTAAAGCACATATGCGATGATCTAAATAAGTCAGGGAATGGGTACAAGAAAAGAAGAGTGAAATGTTTTAAGCAACAGACCGAGACGCAGGTTTATGTTCCCATCACCTTCTGTGAGCAGGATGGTGACAAATCAGAGGACTGTGGAAAAGAGTGACATCTTGGGCTTAACATTTCTCCAAAATAGGCAGAAAAGGTCATTTATCAACCGGTTGTTTAGGAGACATACAGAAAATATATCCCACCATCACACCATAATGTGGATTTTCTAGCAGATGCTGGGATTTGACCCTTGAATATGAGTTTTGGTCAGATGAGATACAAGGTGGTAAAGGATAAACCATCTAAATAATTCCTCCGAAGACAAGAGTATTGATGTCTTGGTAAGAAATAAAACGTTTTTCTTTTCTGTTCTTTTTTTTCCAAGTAGCTACGTATCAGCCAGTTCATTATGAGGCAGGGAGTGAAAAATTATATAAACATAGGTACAGTTTATCATATGAAGGAACAAACGCTTTTTTGTATTTCTTATATAATTCATGACATGCTGATTATGTAGTTAAGATACTTATTCATTCATTAAGCAATTTACTTGTTGCTGTATTTTTGCCCTCGAATTCAAAGTAGAAAACGATAATGTGTAAAAAAAAAAAAAAAAAACAATACATTCCACTCCAGTTTTAATACAAAGCATTTATTTTTTACTCATGTTTTCTTTAAACGGTTATACAAAAGGACCAACTGAGAGAACTTTAATGTATAAAAGTGTGAAGATTAACTTTTTTTAAGAAACATTGCAATTCAGTAAAATGACTGTTGACTTCTGATAAAGAAAAAAGTAAACGCAACGGCTGGAATGTTTTGATTTTAGAAAGAAGAGGGTGTGCTTTAGTTTGAAGATCTTGTGAAGACCTCTGCTCCTATGACGAGTTTGCTGTTGGTTCACTCTTGCTCTGACTCATACTGTTGGCAATGTAGCCAATCAGAGAGAGATATTCCTGGAAGTCGACTTTTCCGTCGCTGTCGGAATCCAGGCCCTGCTGCATCTCCTTGATAGCAGAAGAACTGTTTGTGTCCTGCCATGTGGGACGCAATGAAACAATCTGGGTTAAACGGGTTCAGCTGTGATGCATAAGAGCGACCAGTTGCACGTGCTCTCACCTCCATGACGCCACTCAGCTGGCTCTTGACCATTTTCTGGAAGGTTTTACTGTCGAGGCCCTCTTTCCCTCTGGCAGAACTAAGAAACGTTGTCACTATGGTCTTAATGGCTGACTCCATATCTCTAAAATTAGGAAAGACAAGGGCAGAGGAGGACAGCTGAGTGTGGGGAAGTGACAAAGGAAGATACGGTCATATCTCTGACTCCCAGACTCTCAAACATTGGGCCTTTAAGTGGAGCTCTTGGGAATTTAATTAAAAGAGGCTATTTTTACAGCGCCTTTTTTTTGCATATTGCCAAATTGTAACGATAATGCAGCAATTTAAAAGCCCACGAGAACTAGGGCTACACATCCTCTGTTTAGATCACTGCATTTTTAAGTCAAATGGTCCAGACTAAGGCCCAACCCAGATCCAGTTGATAATCTCTCACTGAATGACTTAATAACTGATTTTTGTAAAGGCCTACTTCGAATGTGACTGGCCTACTTTACATAGAAAAGGAAAACTAGACGTGCAAAACTGGTAAACACAAAAGATATGCAGCTGTAATTGCAGTGAACGATGGTCCGACCAAAATTGACTTATGGGGACTTGATGAAAACGCATGCCACACACCTTTCACATTTTTATGTAAACAACCAAAGAATTCAAGGCATTTTCCTTACATTCAGAATATGCACAACCTTGTGTTGGACTGTTATATCGGCAGAGAAATATGTGACAAGATTCAGAAAGGTTTTTGTTGCACTAATGGTGTTCATCCTGTTAGAGCTGAAAATGTTTAATTTCTCACCTTCATTAAGGTAAGTTTTAAGTAGATTTCCATTTTAAAAAAACATCAGGTGAGAAGTGAAATAAAAAATATAGATTCAAATAGAATCAAATGAGAGAGGCTGGCAGAATGGCAAGATGTCAAACAGCTGATATAACTTTTTATTCTGTACAGTTACACAACATTTTTTCATAATTTAAGCACATTTTTAAGCACTTACAACTAACAAAAAAAGTTAGAAGAATACAAAACAAAAAAATAAGGTTGCACAACTGTGGCACAGCTAAGCTTTGCTTTATATAAGAAAGATGGGAAACACAAATTATGCCAGCACAGAGAAGAAAACAGTGAGTGAAATGAAGTGGGAGTCCCTGAAGGTAAAGCTATGATCTCTGGCAGGAGATATTTGATCTTAAAATAATAATAATAATAAAAAAAACGACTCCAGGCTCTGAAAGTTCAGATTATTCCTTCCTAATACCCATCTGCTGCAGCACACCTCCACATACTCTGCAGCAAGACATGACTCACACTGTTCATGTACGACTAATGAAACATCTCTCATCTGGTCAAGGAAGCGACCTGAACGCAAACCCATTGCTCTATTTGAAGGAATCTAAACCAATCCTTAGATACCAAGCTTTCCATGAAGCTCCTGATATGCATACATATTATTTGGACACAGAAGTTTTGATTCCAGCATGCCGCTGCACCAAAAGAATGGATGTCTCCAAATAAGATAGCGATGATGAAATCTCATCCATCTCCTACAAGTTCAGGATCTTTAAGTTGCTCATGCTGGAGCGCCACTGTGCTTTTCTGGGACACCTGAGCAGAGCGAATTATTACCAACACCTGTGCAACCCCCCACCCTCACCACAGTGACTAATTGCAGCTGGAAACAGTAGCTCCTGTTTCACAACACTCTGCACAAATGAAGGCAGTAATGAGAATATTTCAGCAGGACTGCTGACAGCAAATGAAAAGCTACGTTGAACCTCTGTGAACTTTACCAGTGAAGTAAAAACGATATTCTACAGAAGCAAGCAGGGGCACAAATCTGTCTCGTATTACAGATGGCGCGTTGCTGGTGTTAATTTATGAAGGTGACCCAAAACATCATATGGTTCACCCACAAGATGCAAATAAACATAAAGAAACGTCGGTGAAACTAATGAGATGGGATTATATATACATTTATTATCTGCAGATCAGCCTTTCATGAAATTGGCATCATCTTTTGAAGAGAAATGCATATGAACTTTTTCCAGATGTTGCATTATGACTCAACAAATTTATTTTCCAGTTAAGTATTTCAATCGAAGCTTAGGACAAATGTCTTGCAGAGAAATCCAGGGTTTTTTGTTTTTCCAACATTGTCATGCAGGCCAAAATTTAATCTTATGTGTCTATAAAAACTCCTTTACTTAAAAAAATAATACACATATAACTGCTGGAGCTCACAAAACTTTTTGGTAAACCTCCAAAATTAAAAAAAAAACAACAACCCAAAAGTCTAAACATGACATTTCTGTCCCACTTGATTATTTAAGTTCGTTTTCTTTTAGAAAATGTGTTGACGTTTAAAAAGAGGCTTGACTGTTAGGTTTAATGTGGATGTGGGGGTTTCCTTCACAAAAACTGAGCAACAGAAAAAGGAGCCGCTCACAGCTGCAATCAATTAAAACTAACTGCTGTTGGTGAAGTCGACTGGAGCGACTTTAGAAAATAACAACCAAAGCGAAGCCATAAACTTCTGATGTCTTGCATGGAGGACTATGGAGTCTGACTGAAACAACAACATCGTCAGTAATGATGATGTTTTCATGCTAAACACGAGCTGTGGCTATTTTTTTTTCAACATTAGAACGGCTTGTTTGCAACAGGAAACGAAGCTTTGCGTGTAATGATGACAGTAATCATCGTTACACACACAGCTTCATTTCCTGTTACTTAAAAGCAGTTTCCCAAATAGAAACTGCAAAAATGACAAGACAAAGAATGTTTAAATACTGCATGTTGTTTAGCATGGCACTGAGCATAGGTTTTTATGTAGGATAGTTAATCAGGAAGACTTCCTGCCTCATCAAAGCACCTTAAGAAGAACTTCATGCCAACTGATCAGATTCAAACGTGTTTTAATTGTTGCATTCATGAATGATGACAAAATTTCACTTAATGGCTTTTGCTTTTAATCCAACAAAGTCATAATAAATGTCAAAGTGAGAGATAAGTTTTTTTTCTTTTTAGTAAATACAACCTGTCATTAGAGTAACAATGCGTTTGTTTCTGTCTGTATGTTTAGTGTCATTACTGAAACGCTAACCTCCACCTGTCTTAATCTGTGACAGGTTTCCCTCCAGGGTTGTTGTTTTTTTTTTTTTAAATGAAAGATAGTTCATTTCAGGGCACTTAACTAAGTCCCTGCCTCTTTAAGTGGTGAACTATAAACATTACTATAGTTTTAGTCCTTGCAAAATAATCCTCAAGCTAATTCTTGCGCAACAACAGCTTGGAAAAATGCTGGAGACACTTGAGTCGAGTTGATCAGTATCAGCAGAGTGGAGTGAGGCTGCTCTGCAAGATTTCCAGTGTGTATCGGAAACTACCCAGAGGCCACGGCATGAGTGATGGTGACGGATTCCTGGGGCGACGCCGTTGGGAGTAACCGTAGAAGCTGCTAGATCCTCTATCTGACACAGATGCCACACCTTAATACTTACACTACACCTACATTGATACACGCGTACACAAATAGACAATAACGCACACACATCGTTAGAAGGTCAGCTTGGACTTCTGCTGCATTAACCTAATTAGCAGGTGAGTGAGAGGCAGCAGCCAAACCCTGGGTTTAGTTTCACCTCGACATACAACGCGCACACAGCTGACCAACCAGCAAGTAAACATCCATCATCAGCATGCTGCTTATTATTATTTAATAAGCTGCTATGAATGTCCCGACACCTTCTTTACATCCTTCACAAACCAAACAGCAAAGATGACTGCACACTGGAGTGTGCGTATCAGCATCCGCGCAAATTAAATTTCAGCACGATGGGAAACATTTAACAGCAAGACGTTTTGAGTCAAGGTGGCAGGATGACAAAAAAAAAAAAAAAAGAAGAAAGACAGGAAATGTTGGGAGAGAAAAAAAAAGTGACCTGCAATGGTCAGTTTTTGTTCTAAACGCATAAGGGGAAATTTTGAAGGTTCCCCTCGGCACATATTCACTCCGACTCAGAGTGTGTGAAGATCAGAATGACTCGTGGAATAAATGCTGGTGTGGAGCTACAATATTTGTTTTATTTGTACCGATGATTCTGTTTAGGGGGAGTTTGACTCTTTAGTGTCGGCTTAGTGGACGTTTCCAGCACATGTTAGTTCAGAGATTCACAGTCTACGCTGGTCCTTCTGTGAATTGAGACTGCAAATATACATGTTTCCTACACTCAATTTATTTCAGAGACATAGAGTTGAAGAACAAGCAACACGCCTGATTCTCAGATCTGCAATAAGTAGTGGGCCAAAACTCCTTCACAGTGATGTGACAGAATCATAGCTGGTTACGTTTCACAGTTAACAACAGATGCTGTTGCCAAGGTAAAATGAAGTGATTAGGTGTGGCGGGAAAATTACATTTTCACATCAAACAATTCACAGTATTGACTGTTGACTTTCAAGTCACATTGAAAGGTTTGCAATTTTACAAAAACATATTGCTAAATTTTGAATGAACTCCAGATTTTCCTGATTCTTTCTTCTCTTTAATGACGACGTCTACTGGTTGAGAGCATGTTGGCCAAATATTCAAGGCTATGAAGACTGATTTGATATAACTCCAATTCACATCAATTGTGTTTCCACAGTTCTATTATATTATGATGAATAGATGATTCCTTACATTAGTACTTAGAACGTGTGAAATTAAATGCAAGGTGACAATTTTCCCCAGCTGTTATTCTGTAAAGCTCAGGCTGCTCTATGTATGTAAGCAGTTCTGAGCCGATTTTATTGTTTCTTGATTGATGCATTACAATAGGCGCTCATAAAAAGACTCCACCATAAATGTGCAGCAGGTGATGACTTACTGTGTACATAAGAGCTGCTATGTTCAGGCTGGTTCGGTGACTCATGTTGGTCCAGCTTGTGCGTCTGTTCGCAGCCACACTTAATGGGCTGAAAAATGAACATTTTTTTCTCTTTAACTTTTTTTTTTCGGATATCTCTGAAGATCTTAAACACACAACCTGCACAGATCATCCGCCACTTCTCTTGGGGAGGTGGAACAACAGGGGGTTGTCAATCCCAGTGACTGATCCGCTCCACCCAGTTCAGGTTGGTTTCATTAAGGTGTGACCGCCCCACCTCCTGCCTGTCAGCGGTCAGCTCACTAACTACACCAGACCCGGCCCGGGCGAGCTTCAGCACCGGGATCTGATCAAAAACTAAATAATTCAGGCTGATAAGAGACTACACACGGATCTCGACTGAAGACAACATGGGCGCAGGAAACCACGGTTCTGATGGTTCTGGCGGTTCTGGACGGTGTCTGTCGTTTCAATTCAACCTCAAACTAATCTTGACAATTTGTCAAGCGATTGGGGGGGGGAGAAGAAAGGGACACACACACACTGGCAGCGAATGAATAAATAAATAAAAAAGGGTGAGTGGAGACTCCGGTTTCTGTGGAAGTGTAAAAGGAGTTGGAGTTGAATTACTAACGAGGGGAAAACAAGCCCCTCGCTGTCACCACAACAGACACTCCCAAAGAAGATGGCCTGGAGATTTTAACAGACAGAAGAAGAAGAAAAAAAAGCAGCCTGGAATCTCCGGGAAAGTCGCTTTAATTAGAAATAAAGTTTTGCGCGGCACGAAAAGCCCAAAAGAGAGCAGGACTCACCTTATAGGCGCAGCGAACAAGAAGCGGACTGAAACTCTCGGCTCTCTTTCCTTCTTCCAGATCCTCCTCACCGGATTGACGGACGGCGCATATCTTTTCCGTGATTTAACCTCCACTACAGCTAACTTTTTTTCCTTTTTTTTTCCCTTCGTTGTCACAGGGCGTGTGCCTGAGAGAGGAGGAATGTGGATTTAGGCGAAGCTTCAACTCTTGTTTCAAGCAACACTTTCGTAATAAATAAATAAATAAAAAGGAAAAACAAAACAACTAGTATAATTCACGGAATATTATCTGCCTTATATCTCTAAAGCATCCTATGTCTTTTTTTTATCTAGTTCAATGTAAAACCATGTTTGAGCTCGCGCACAGATGTGCGAGCCACACCCTGAAACTGGGAATAACCCGACCTACATAAACAACCCTTTTTATTATTTATTTATTTGAATTGTTTTGTTTTTTTTTTTTTTGTTTCAAACATGAAGACCTCGTCTCGTCTCATTCCGTCACCTCTCAGTCCCGCAGAGGCAGAGAGGGAGGTGATGTTTTCCAGGAATCAACCGAGCCAAGGGCCAAAAGCCAAGAGCCAAAAGCTCACACAGAGCTTTTTTCAGACAATGCTTTTCCCACCCAGTTACTTTAATGACAGGCTTGTGAGCACATGTAGCTGGGAGTGAGTGTGTGTGTGTGTGTGTGTGTGTGTGTGTGTGTGTGTGTATGCGTGTGTGTGTGTGTGTGTGTGTGTGTGTGTGTGTGTGTGTTGGGAAATGGCAAAGGCCCATGTCAACTGGTACACAGGCAGAGAGGGAAGACTTGATCATTTCATGTTTCTCACTTGAGTCTCCATCTGGAGCCTGTCAGTGTTTTCACAAATGAAACATATATAGGTTTAAATTCAAACACATTGCATCTGAGAGAGTCAATGATCCAGTTAAGTTCAAAAACGTCTGCATTTAAGAGTTTGAACCATATTTGGTCAATAGAGTCCAGACTTCTGTAAAGTATCTCTTTAACATCAAACTAAATCGTAAAACCTAAATAAAATCTCAAAATCATTTCAATCCCCTTATGAAAAAGTGGTATCAAATTGTGCCACGCCTTCTGATTCATTTAGATTTTGCAGCATGTAGATAGATTTTGGAGGGCAATAATAAACATCAACCATTAAAACTATGTTGTTGTTTTTTTAATTAGATAATTTGTGAAATGTTCAATGCTGGCCAAGAAGTAGCCTGTTTGTTTTTGCAACAAATCCCACTCAAACATTTTGATTTAAATTCAACAGAGGATGTTGCTTCACTCAAACGTATTCTCTCTTGTCAAATCTCCTGCAGAGAGAAGAAAGACTAATATGTTTTATATGTAAACATGGCATGTTTTACATATCAGCTTCGTCATAGTTAGGAAGAGCAAATTGTGGCCAACAAGGTTTTTGTTCCAAAGCAAGAATGTTCAGTTTGTGGTAATCTGGCTTTAAAATTAAAAGTCAGACATATTAGCAAGCGAGTTTAACTTTGAGTCTTTAAAAGTTTGTATTCAGTTCTAGTTTGGTGACACAATTTGAGTGACATTTTATTCCTTGACCACAAATTATTTTTCTTTTTTTTAATGTGGGAGGACAAATCACACAAACACAATCATCTTAATCTTTAGAACTGTATTAACTTGTAAGCCTTTTTAACATCAACAGAAAATTACTCCCAAAATGTTTTTGCAAAATGTTAACAATCAATTTTACTGAGTGAATTTAAACAGTTTATTTTGTTGGTGCAGTCAGTATACTCACTGGCCTCTTAAGCAGAGGAAACTGGCTGAGGTGATTTCCATTTTGGAGGATTTCCCTTTTCTTCCATGGCACACAGAAAGTTCAGTAGCACACACATTAAACTTAAAAAAAAAAAAAAGTAGTTGAAGACACTCTATTGGCTGAACCCCCCATTCTTGGTTGCAAGATGCCCAATCAGCTGCCAGAACTCCAGGAAGCTCAGCTCTCCATCATTGTTCTTGTCCAATGAACTCATGAGCTGGTCAATGGCAGCAGCGTCGGCAGCATTCTGCAGGAAAAACAGGAAAACATGTGTGAGACACTACAGAGCACAACCTTGTCAGCCAACAGATGACCTTGTAAAAAAGAAAATCTCACAAGTGAAAAAGTGTCAGAGGTAAAGTGATGCCAGTGGCACAGGCAATCAGGATGAGAAAAGCCTTTAAACATGCTGCGTCAGCAGAGTTGGTTTGGCACAGGATTCCCTGGCTCTGTCACCACCGTGTGGCTGCTGTGGATGATCTCAGCCTCGCACGGAGAGGAAACCCATGGAATTTTCCACACTTGGAAAAGGGAGCCCGGTATCCTGTGTTAGGCCTCATGAAGAGCTGCTTTCTGTCAGGGGGCATTCTTGTTAGGAATGCAAAGCGAAAGGAACAGAAAGTCTTGCAGCACGAGTGGCTGCAATGAGCGGGGCCAGTTCTTTCTGTTTGAATTCCATTGTTTTGCTTTGTTTTTATAAATAAGAATATATATATAGTTTTCCTTTCATGGAAACTGCGCAGCATTGCATGGAATGTCATGGCTGGGATTCACATAATGGATGACGTTCACAGCAGTCAGATGATGCCCATTAAGACTCGACTTCCCCACCATGAAATAACTGCTATGTATATAAATCTTTCCTCTCATGTGTTTTATTTTATGAAACTGCAAAGCTGATCAAATGAACACACGTTTTGAAGAATGAAGCCGATGTACATTGTAATTTCTCAAATATTACAGTAAGCGTAGTGTTCAAAACACACAGACAAGATGCAGCTGCAGGGGAAGAAGAAGTCTTATGATCAACTTTATTCAAAGCTCACTGCCTTCAATGAAAAGCCAGAAAATTCAAAACATAACAACAAACATTGTGTCAATACTCTAAGACATCATTTCCTTTACTTAAGGCCACTGTTCATCAACAGTAATAAGAAAGAGACTCAACAATTCATGGAAAGCTCCAAGGTAAAAGCCACCAGTAACCCGACCCCCCTGGCTTATTGAAGGCCTTTCTCACAATTGCTGAAAACTGTCTTGAGGATCCTCAACCCTTTTGGGAAAATATTCTGTGGTCTGACACAGACAAAAGGGAAACATTGTGGAGGCTGTGTTTTCCACTATGTCCGACCTGAACGTACTTGCAATTCACAGAACAATACATTCTGCTCTCAAGTAAAAAAAAAAAAAAACTAAAGCAGAATATCCAGACATCAGTTTGCAAACAACAAGTTAACCTCTGAATGGCTAAGAAAACACAAAATGTATGTTTTGGCGTGGTCTAGTCAAACTCTGAGCGTACAGAGACATAAACATGCCCTTCATGCAGAAAAACCTCCTCTTCTACCTTCACAAAGCTGGAGAGCTCTGACTCGACCAGTTTTTGAAACTGCGTGTCAGAGGAACCATCTCTACCAGCATACGCCTTGAACTGGGACACCAGCACACCGATGGCAGTCTCCATCATGGGCTGAAAGTCAGACAGATGGATCTGTTTTTAGGGAAACAAAGAGAAATGCTCTCAGTGATAAGAGTAAAATCATTTTGAAAAATAGCAAATGATACAAATGTAGCAAATGTACATTGAGTCCAACAAAAAAAAAGTTTGCCTCCATAAAACAGGTAAACACTCACCTCCTCAAGAGTGTTTGGTCTGTTGAACCAAAGCTTCCCTGTCTTTTCAAAGCCAAGCTTTCATGGTAAAGAAGTTAAATTATTGACTTTTAACTTTTTCCAGTGGCAAGTCACACTTTCCTGTATTGCACAACTAAAATGTGTAACCAGACTCTGGTTTCTGTAATTATTAATTATATGTTGTGACATGAACCATTGGAAATATGACCTTATGCAGACATTTTACAATGAGACTTTTGTAGAAGGCCTTCATTGTGACATCAGTCTGCATTTTTTTCCCTCAGATTATCTTAGAGCTTGTTAAACCATCTCCTAATGCAAGGTTTATGATGCAGAAGCTTTTGTCATCCATTATGTAAATGTACCATGAACACAGTTTCCTAAATTCCTATTTTTTCCTTGTGCTCAGCACATGGAAAAAATGCGTAACTTCTGAGTAGAGTATGAATCAATCCAATAAATTCAGCCCAATCAAATTTTCCAAGTCTGAGCGGCTTGTTTAAGATTTGAGTTTTTATTCATTCCGGCAACTTTCTTTTTATGCCTTTTAAGATGTTGATAAAACCTACTTATCCAACAAAATTTCCTTTTGCACCGTTAACAGTTCAGTTCTCAGTCCAAACGAGGAGATCACTCTTGAGCTAGGAGAGACTCAAGAGTGATCTGAGAGCGACAGGATATTTCTCCTCATCAGCATCAGAGTGTGTGCAGCACTGCATCTGCTGAGGTCCTAATTTGGCTTCCACAGAGAGGTGGCGCTACTGTCTCACATCAGATCTTGGTAACGAGTTACTGTGACAGAGCAAAGGTGCTTCACTTGATGTTCATGCCTCTTTTTTCTATCTATCCTTATTTTGATTGTGAATTTAAATGTTATTCTTTATTTGTAGTCCTTTAAATTTCTGATATTGTCACAATTTAACCATCTGCAGTCATTTTGGTGTTGGTCAAGTAAATTTACTGTCACAAAAAATCAGAGTTTGAAAAGTAAAACTGGTAAAGTGACTAATGGGACCTTTTAATGGCTCTATTGATGACCTTAATGTCCTGAAGTTCCTATTAAATTCTCATCACAACTTATAATTCTGATTCCATTCAGCACTGAAAAAGCTGCTTGGATAGGAGTTAGAATATCTTTAAGCAACAGGAGAACTCTAGTTTCCTTCTACTTAAACATTTAGGATTTTATGTCTAGGATGACTGAAAACCAATATTTATTCTACAAACAGGACATAAATAAGCATTGAAATACAAAAGTTAAAAGAGCACAAATGTGTGCAAGCACAAAGAGCAGTTTTGAAGAGAATTCACACAGTCAAAGCAAAACAAGTTTCTTTTTATGTCCACAAAACTGGGAGCAGAATGCAGCAGTTTATTACTGATGATCATAAAGTCTGGGCTCCAGAAACGGGTGAGAATGAGGCACTTGGGTTTCACCTTAGAAAAGAGGATGTGCACAACTGGCATATTAGGGAAGCAAGTTTGTCCTAACAAGCACATTGGCTTTGTCATCCACATATCCCTGAACATCGCTTTCACATCTCAGTGGAATGGCTGTTACACAGACATGCATATCTATGTCACTTTTTACCTAAAATAGCAGCGTACAGCCCTCGTTTCATTCCCATAGCTGCTGTAGAGGAAGAGGGAAGCAGTAGCTAACAAAACTAAATGGTTCATCAAGATATTGGGCAACCATGAGAGCTGCTTTGTTATTAATATTTTCCAGCTCGGGCTGAATTTAGAGTTCTTTAAAAAAAATGTAACTGCAGTACTTTGCAAAGGTATTCATATCCCTGAAACTTTTCCCGTATTTTTCACTGAAAAGCTAAAATGTATTTACTGTTAAAGGTAAAAGAACTTTAGTGAATAAGCAGCATCATGAAGACCGATGCTTCATGATGCTGCAAAACGTTCACCCAGAAGGGAGATCGTTTTGGAGAAGTTTGAAGCAGGATGAGGATATAAAAATATCTCAAACTTTAAAACATCCTAAAGAGCTGTTCAATGTATCACACAACTGCAAACCTACTGACTCACTGTTTCAATTTTCAGCAAGTTCGTGCTATAAGTATGTTCTTTTCTACAAAGAGGAACAATTAAGCTGGTCAGTCGATGGGAAGATGGAGGGACTAAATACTCACAATCCTGGAAGATTTTTTGGAGGCTGCAAAAGACTTGAGTCAGAGTCTGAACCCTGTTGCAAAAAAAATAATGATGAAAATCTGTCTCCCATGTGCAAAGAGAAATATACTATTGCACAGTAATAATCTGCCTCTAAAGGCAGATTCTAAATGTACACAAATCTAATATTTGTAGGTAGGAAAAATCAGGTACCTTCTTCCTTTTACTATGCAATTACACACTATTTTGTGCTGGTGTCTGGATGGAATCTGACAAAATAGAAAAAATAAACTGTAGGTTTCTACAAGTTCAACCAGGACAGAGATAGCGCGACTTCCTGGACCGATGGATATTCCATCACAGAGACAAAAGGCTGCTCATTCATACACAATGGGAAGTTAATAATTAACCTGACACACGTGTTGTTAATATTTGAGTGGAAACCAAAGTAACTGGAGCAGAACACAAGAAGTTACTGCTGACATTTGAACCGCAGGCTAAAAAGCTGCAAGGCAACACAGTCAACTTTCACAGTCAACTATCCCATCACTGGTTCCATTTCATCGGAAATATTTCATCTCTTTGTGTTTCATAATGAAAGCTCCATATTTATGACAGGCAACATTTTCCTGGTTTCAATAAGTGCAATGATCAACAGGCTGAACAGATCCTGACTTAACATGCAGTTTGTCTGGTTTCTTTCACCTACTCAGTGAAAGAAACCAGAGTATTTTCTCAGACATCTTAACCCGTCTAATCCCAAATTTTTTCCTACAGAATAAATGCATGCATTTCAATCACTGGACCTAAATCATGATATTTATGAATTATTAGTTTATGTTGGTCATGTTAGTGAAATGTAGGTTTTATACTCTGCAACATGTGTTGCAGGTTGGGAAACTGCATCGTCGTCTGCTTTGCACAAAATATGGATTATTTTCACACATATATCATATATCCATTGGTCAAAATGATGTAGGAACAAAATGAACGTCCTTGACAGAAAGGTTAACCAAACATCAACAACATATGGACCAGATATGACTGAAACTTGTGAAAACATTTTCTACAGTAATGTTAAATGTGGCAGCCAAGTTCTAATTTTTCCACACACTACAAATCTGGACTTGATGGAAGAGCAACAGGAAGCCATTTGAAGCGCAGCTTCCAGTTTATGGCAAACTAGTTTAGGTGATAGCTGAGATCTGGACAAAGGTGCTCTGGTCAGGTGAAACGAATTGATGGCACTCTAGCTAATGAGGTGGAAAAGTGACTGGTAAATGCAGAAAAATCCTAAAAGCCTCAGACTGGTTCGCAAGAAACTCGCAATGTTTCCTCCATCTGACCTGAAAATCATTTTAACCCAGGTGTCTGTGGAGAAACGCCTCGGTTCTGAAACACAGAGGTCACCCTTTTCTCCAAGTGGTGACCTCTGCCCTCCAGTCCATTCAGACTGCCAGACCAATTTTACTTACGAAGCGCTTCAAAACTGTGCCAGCTGAATCAAAGTGCCGCACAAAGCTACAAACCGTAAAAGCACAGAAGTATAATGAATAAGAAAGATTAAACAATGCAATCAGTTAAAACAAGGTCAAACTACATCGCTCCAACTAAAAAGCAGGCTGTCTTGGGCTCAGGTGTAGATTATTCCACAATTTAGAAGAAGCAGTAGAAAAAGCCCAGCCCTCTGAGCCTAAGATTGAGATCTCACCTTGGCCAAAGTTAATGTGAGGAGGATGACAAGAATGCAGTTTCTGTGTATAGCAAGAAAGTTGAGTCAGGAGTTTTGAAGGCTCAAAAAGATAAGGAAAGATTTACTGAAAAGTCACAATTGATCAATTTAAATTAATATGTTGGGGAAATTCAAACCTTATGTTTATGATCACACAGGGAGCTGATTTATATATCACTCTTATAGAGGAAAATTAAATGGTCGATTTTAACAGATCTCACAAGGCAGAAAATTCAACATCAGGATTTTTAGTCTGCCCTCCACAATTATCAGAGCTAATGAACAATCTTCACTTATTGGGACCTAAAATTTCAAACACATTTTTGGTTGGCTGTTTTTATGGTTCTGTGGAGAAATTATTTTAACTGATGAGTTAAAACTCAAAGATCACAAAAGAAAGTTTATTTTCTTTGAGGTTACAGAAGCAACAAGAAACATCTGAACTCAAATTCTCCACATGACAAAAGAACCACAATGAGAAATTGTGCAAACATACAGAAATTAACACAAATTAAAGTAACACAACCTATTTAAATTAACGACATAAAAAACAAGCAACTTGAACATGCCCGTACCTTAAGTGCCCAACGTTTGTTTTCCACACAATGCCTGTTGTAAGAATACAATTAAATACTTTTCTCCACAAAACATGTTGGATGCAACATTTACAAACAATACAAATCAATGCCAAATTTTCAAACATAAATTATCCAACTTTCCTAACAACCCATGTTGAAGCCTGTTTTAGTATCAATGATTTAGTAACCCACAACACAGTGATCAATAAATATGACAACCTGTATCTCCAATAAGTGGAGCTTTAGTAAGCATTAACAGTGCACAGTGCTGTATAAGCAGGAAGTGTTTAAATAATAAAAAAAATAATAATAATAATAAATTCTAGAAATTAAGTTCAAAACATCAGAACTGCTCCAGCAGGTTTAAGTTTCAACATTTCTAAACAAAATATTTGAACACCAGTGAATGTTTACATAATCTGAAGTATCTTGATACAAAAACCTGGACCCAACTTTTTGATTTTAAAGATATTGCTGAATGAAAAGGAGCAATGTTTGAAAGTACACATTAGTTCAGTGTACAGATTGCAAAAAGCCATGTACAAAACATTGCGTTTTAACCTACAAGCAAAATTCTAAGGGAAAGACTGAAAACACCATGAACACAATTGGTGGTGGCAGTTTCATGGTGTGGGGCTGCCTGATTCAGCAGGGAAAGAAAACTGAGTTGACGGGGAAAAAGACGTAGTGCAATTCTGGAAGAAAAACCATTTGAAGGCAGCAGATGGAGGTTCACCTTCCAGCACAATGACCCTAAAAATGTACAGCTGGATCTCCAAGAAATGATTTAGAGCACAGCATCTTAAAGAAATGTTTAAATCCAATTGAGAATCTTGTTTGGGAATTGGAAATGTGAACAGATGCTCTCCATCCAAACAGGTGTGACTTGAGCTCGTTGTAAAGCAGAATTGGCAAAAAATATCAGTCTGTAGATGTCGAACTCATTAGAACTTGTAAGCTTGGCCAGCCTGTGCGATACAGTAAATATATGAGCAAGAGTAAGATTTTAAAGTTTAGTGAAATATATTAACAGATGGTAGTGGGGCAAAGAAGGGTTGGTTGACTGCCTGATTAAAACATTGAAGTAATTATGGTCTTAAACAAAGTATGTCCTCCAGCCTATCAAATCATAATCAGCCACGTTCTTGTCTGTTCTCCTTCCTCCATTCACCTTTAATCCTCTTCTCCTTCTCCCTGCCACCTGGAAGTGAAAACATTTTCAGGACTTCCTTTTCAAACCCTTCCATTTCATCCTCTAGGTCACCATCTTTCTCATCACCATCCTCCACCATGTCTTCCAAAATATCCGACAAATCGTCCACAAAGTCCTGGAAGCTCCTCTGGTTGTGCACAAACATCCCATCCTGGAAAAACTCCAAGGCGATCTTTCTGAGCTCTGATGTTTTGGATCCATCGACTCCGGCCTCCTCTATCTTGGTCAGATAGGTTTGCAGTACAGAGTCGAACTGTGATAACGAGACAGGGCGGAGCCCCTCCGCCTGGGCGCAGGTTTCCAGCGTGTCGCACTGCTGCGGTGGTTTGGGGTCGTGTTGGAGGCGTCGTCTCTGTTGGAGCCAGTATTCTGGTTGTCCTATGGAGGGTTTGGGGTGGGTGTGATGGGGCTTTCGCTCACCATACAAGTGCTCTTCCTTGTGGCCATGATCACCTGGAAATTCATGTTTGTCTTCTTTGTTTTTAAGGGAGTGTGACTGGTCTTTTTCCCAGTCTACATTATGCTTCAGTTTGTCTTTTTGATCTTAAACTGTTCTGAAGTCTCATCCTTCCTCCTAAAGTTCTTCTCTTCTTCCCGTTTTTGCTCTTCCTCTCATATTCATTCCACTCTTTCCTCTCATCCATCCCGTCCTTTCTTTAGCCTGACTTTTGCTATTGTCCCACTGCTTCCTCTCACCCTTTCCTTTCCCTTCCTTACCAATTTTTCTTTCCACTCAGGGTCTTTCTTATCGCCTTTCTCCTTCCAATCTTTTCTCTCCTGCTTTTCTTTGCCTCCATGTTTCCCTTTCTTCCACTCCATCTCTCCTTTCATCTTCTGATCGCGATGCTTCCCTCCTCGCCACTCCTCTTTCTCCTTACCTGTCCATTCTTTATGTTCATGTACTTTCTCAAAGTTTCCCTTTTTCCGGTCTCTGTCTTCCTTCAACTTTCCTACCTTCCTTGTCCCAGGGGTCTACCGTTATCTCCTCTTCCTCCTTTTCTCTTTAACTCTTTCTGCTTCCAAGGACTTGCCTCATCACTTGCTTCTTGCTTACCTGGCTTAGCTTGTCATTCTCAAGCTTCCCATGTTCAAGTTTTCCCTTCTTCCACTCCACTTTATCTCCCTTTTTAAGCTCTTTTCCATTTCCTTCCTTCCCAACAGACTTATCTTTCCCCTTCTGCTGTTTTTTGTCATGTATTTCATATTTAACCCTATTTGGATCTTTCTTCAGCCTCTGATCTCCCCAAGTCTTCTGTTGCTGTTTTCCAGCTGAATCCTGCCTGCCGTCTTCTGTTTGGTCACTAGGTGGTGATGTAGAGTGTTTCATGCCGGCTTGATCAGCATCGCCGGCTGCTGGAAGAGACACAAAAGTCAATAAAACAACACAAAGTCTGCAACAAAAGTAAAAGAAAGAATAAACTTGATCTGCTTTCCCTTCCTGCTTTTAGTAACTAATCCCCTTCAACTTCTAACTCTTGTACCTGGGGAGAGTTTTAAGTTTGTCACAGTGGATCTCAGGGTTTCTAGCTCTTTCTGTAGGGCCGGGACAGACTCCAGCTCTTTCTTCATCCTGTCGTTCTCTTTCTGAAGGGCAGGGAGAGATGCAATCTCTGTCTTCAACCTACTGTTTTCCTTCTCCACCTCCTCCCAGAGCAGCCGCTGCTCCTCTCCTCTGCTGCCTGCTCCTTGGCTACTTTTAGCTCCTCTTCTGTGCCTGGTTGGAAAGGAAAAAAAAAAAGGAAAAGTAAAGAAGCTCCCATGAGCATGTTATGCACTCGCTGACACATTTACGCAAAGACACACATTTGTTTTACACACATACATAAATAAAATGAACTAAGGAGAAATGAAGCACTGGACAGAATGGAGTCACACCTGAAGCTGAGCTTGTAGTGCAGAAATCTGCTGGTTCCCTTCTGCTAACTTATTAAGGAGCTCAGAGCTGTTGTGATCTAAACCTGGAGCTACTTCGGGACTAAGCCACTCCTGTCAACAAATTGCAAGCGGAGAAAAACAGTCTGAATTCAAAATGCCTTTGTCACATCGAAAACATTTCTAAGGAAGCAGAAGTTTGAGGTGAACTGCTGCCCATGTTGGTCTTCCAACAAGCACAGTCCAGAAAATGCTTGTGTTTTTAAAACTTATTATTTATGATTTTCATGATGTTATGGAATGCATGTGGTATGTTGTTATTAGATAAGTGATTGAAAGTGATGCCAATAAAAACAGAGAAGGAGAACATCAGTCTGACCTGTTTCCCTGGTGCTTCTGTATCCTTCAGTTCCCTTGTTGTATAGTCACCCTCTGCAAATCATTATGAAAAGTGTCAAGTCAATGTAGATGACTGTTTTCAAATCAGCATCATATATTTAGCGAACAAGCCAACTTGCAAAAGTAATAACCCATCAACCCCACGTTATCAATCCAACATCAAGTTTTCTAAAATGGGGAAAAGGGGCAGTCTGCAGATGTCTGGATACAAATGTGCAAATCTTGTTTTTCTGTATGCCAAGTCTTCACATATACATTTTATTTTTTTTTTACCTGAAAATGTATACCACTTTTAAAGTCCTTGTGTCGATGCCAATAAGCATGATGTGAAGGGCCTGGGATCCTTTACAATTCAGTGTGGTTAATTTATGCAAAATTTTGATATCAATGTCAGGATAAAACAAGCGTCCCTCTTCCAAAACAAAAGAAAAGCAAGACGGACTTTTAAAGTGAATTTTAAAAAGCATCCCATGCAAAGTCCCTAAGTTCTGCGTGCATGTTCACAAACATGTTGTGGCCGAGAAAAGGTGAATTATTTTACTTAGATGCACACACAATAGGACTAAAACAACCTACCCTCATCGAAGTCCATGAAGACACCTGCAGGCATAGTACACCTCAGACTCAGAGCCTCCTTTAGTCTCATTAGTCATTGCTTCTGACATAGACACAAGTCTAAAATATCACAGCAACAGGTTCACAGGTGATGCTCACCAGAGAAAAAGACGGTGCCGAGCCCCAACAGAATGAGAGCAGCCAGGATGCATTTGTTAAGAGAGAACATGCCGTCATTCTCTCGCTGTGGCACCTGAAATTCTTCTTCCACTTCTTCTTCCTCCTCTTCTTTTCGCCCAATCTGCTCCAGGAGAGACTTTCTCCTCCTCTCCACCGACTCTCCCTCGTCTGTCCTTTCACCAGTTCCTAAACAGACAACAGAAAGGAATCTTTCTACATTTAGACACCTTTTAAATGAGGTGTATGTGCTTCACAAAAACTTTAGACACTTAAACTCAGCTTTGATAAAAATGTCATACGAACAACCACTTTAATACCATCAAAACTGCCTTCATTTGTTGTGACATGGACTCAACAAAATGTTGGAAACAATAGTCAGATTTTTTTGTTTCATACTGACATGATGACATCACACTGATGCAGTAGATTTGTGAGCTGAACATCTATGATGTGAATCTCCTGTTTTACCACATCCAAATCGTTAGGCTGAGCTCATGTGACTGTAGAAGTCACTGGAGGACAAGAAACTCGTCGTCATTTTCAAGAAAGAAGTTTGGGATTAGTTCTTTAGGACATGGGAAATTATTCAGCTGGAAGTAGTAAAAGCAATTCTTGCTTACTGTTGAGAATGATCTAGGATCTGTGATGCTGTGGGCCTGTTTTTCAAAGACTCCTGGAACCTTGTTAGACTTCCTGGCATTATGTATTATTTGAAAAATAAAAATTTGAATAATAAATGAATAAAATTAAACAAGCAGTCATAGATACATTTAATTTGCCCAAGAGGTTGGAGCATTCCAGTAGAAATAGGCAGTTGCAAAAAGCTGTGGTGGATAACTTCCATTAGCAACACTTACCGGACTGCTGTCCCTCTTGGTTTGGCACCTCTTTATTTTGCAGATGAAGCGTTTCGTCGAGTCGAAGTTCCTCTTCTGCCGGTGAAAACTCTGCACCTCCAAGAGTCTCTGTGCTGAGCAGTGAGTCTGGGGGCCCATCTTGGGAAGGCGTCAGAAGGGTGTAGGAGTCAGAGGACGAATCTGGCTCAGGGGAAGACCTTGTCAGTCCCTCAGTTTTGCTCTCAATAATACCATTGTCCAAGGTGCCAGAGGCATCCACAGATGGAGGATTTGAGTTGGAATCTGCATTTTGATCTTCAGAAACCTAGAGAAAAGAATGATTGTTTTTAAAAAGTTTAAACCTCTTCAGTCAGTGGGTAGTGAACAAAATAAAAATAAATGACCGGCTAGTTAGAAATAAAGCTAGAGGACATTGCACACAGTGCTGAAAGATGATATGGTGTTATGAGTTATGGTGTCTTACTAGGTAACCCTCCTCTGGGAGTCTTTCTTCTGCAGACTCGGCGCTATTTGGAGGCTGATTTGTTTCTCCAGGTCCTGGTTCATCAAGGAGAGGAAGCATTTAAAGCAGCAGTTCAACATTTTATAACAGTCAGTTCTTGAAAGGGAACCATTCACACTGTTGTAAAACTTTGGCACCTCAAGCACCTTTGACCAAAATGACTGCGGACATGGGTTTAGTTTTATTAACAGAGGAAGCTGATGTTCAAGTAGAATAAAGCTTGACTGGTCTTTATCATCATTAAAGTGTGGGAAATGTATTTATGTAAAAAGACTGAGGCAATAAAATAAAACAGAGCCCTCAACTAAATGACTGCAGAACAATGTTGTGTTTACAATGACCTGAAGCAGTAGTCTCTTGCTCCATCGCCTCATCAATCTCATTATTGTTAGGAACATGATTTTGCTGACGCAGGTTTATGGGTGAACATGGTTTATACGTCTCTCAATGGAGCTGAGATTAAGTAGTTTTGATCAACTTTTTTGTTGAAATTAAATTACAAATTATTAAGTAATTTTCTTTAACCAAAACCTTAGAAGTTCTTCATGGACACCTAATTGTGTAGCTAATTGGAAACTGAAACAAAATACTTATTTGGACATGAGCCAAATGCAGCACTAAAGAAAGCAAACCAGATGCTATCTGTTAAGGGCTTGAAGTATCGTTGTTTGGGAATGCTTTGCTGCACCAGAACTATGCCAGCGCCTCATCATAGAATCCCTTACAAATTATACTTATCGTCAGAGCCGCCTGAGGAAAATGTAAGCACATCTGTAAAAATATTAACGCAGAATTAACTGGAGCCTGCTGCATGACAATTGCCCAACACATACCAATGAATTTACCACAAATCTCATGAAAATTAAAAAGCAAGAAAGTGTTGGGCAGATTAAAACCCCAAATTCTGATTTGACAAGATGCTGCAAGGTGACTAAAAACAGGCATTTGCAAGAAAAACGTTCAGCATTTCATGGCCACAAGTGAATAGTAGGACACACTGTCCTCTGAGATTGGTAGATGGCTACTAGACGCATCTTAGTGAAGAAACAAAGGAAACAAAGGATTTAATGGGGAGGGAGAGTTGAGATTAAAAGGTTAAGTGCTTTGGATTGTTCAAACCTTTTCTTTAATCACGTTTCTAATTCCATAATGAGACAAATACAGGGTTTATTTTTAAAAAGTTTATCTATACATCTGCATCACTTCATCTTCTAGAGATTAATGAGAGAAGAGCTATTCTAGGTTAATCAGATTTTCTAATGACTGAAGTGAGCTCAAGCAGCTGGATTGAGAAAAATTTGACTGGACTTATTAGGGTCTACCTTTCAGATTTTATTCTAAGCTATGAGAGGAAGAGAGGGGTCAGTTAATGTGTTTATAAACATTTCACCAATATATTGTACACCTCAGAAACTTATAAATGGTCACATAAATGAAGCATACTGTCCCCAGACCTGTGGCAGATGTGTGGCTCTCTTCATGCTGCTTTGCTCCCTCCTCAAGGGGCCTCAGGGTTTCAGCAACTGTCTCCTATGATGACAGAGGCAGAGTCATTACCACTTGATTGAAGACCTATCAAAAAATTGCTATGTTAAAAGGTAAATTTAATATTCAGAAACCATTTTTATTGATAGTAAATAACCTTTCATTGACGTCATTAATAACACAGAATGTTCCTCTTTTTTACAACTTTGACATAAAAAATGTTTTATAAACATTATGACACAAACTTAATTCATATTCAGGTGACCTGAAAGAGAAACAAACTGGGACAAAGCTCTCTTTTTTTTTTCAGAGACACGTTTAAGAAGGTCATGCATGACTGCTTGACATTTCAAAGTGATCATACCTCAGATGTGAGGATGGTCCAACTGTTGTTGGCAGCACCGCCCCCAGACATGGCCCCCCCAGAGGCTTCGCCCGTCTCCTGCAACACAACACCAGCATTGAAAACAAATGTCGTGATTAGCAATAGTTCCACGAAATGAAGTGAGAGGAGAGTGAGGAAAGTCTGTGCTCTTCTGTTTCTTAATAGTGTCTGTGTCAGGAGTTCAGCCTTTCTCTCTCCACTTGTAGGTACAAGTAGAAGCTGGCCCACTCTAATTACTGACAAAACCATGGTGAGACATGATTTCCAACACATAAAAATGTTATACCTTTCCAGATCTGCATTATTCGTAAAAATCTCTGTCTAAAAATCAGACAAAGTCAAGCCAGCTGAAGGAAAATGAATAATAATGCATAGATGGATGGATAGTTTGGTTTGATGGACAGAAGACATGATGAATAGACAGACAAAATTATGACAAAAATATCTAAAAATATGTAATAATAAATATTCTGATGTTTCAATGGTATGAAAAGACAATAAAATCTGGAAATAAAAGTGTTTTCCATTTTCTTCTTCCATCCTTATTTAGATCTGTAAAACAGTGAAATATTATATATATATATATATATATATATATATATATATATATATATATATATATATATATATAAATCTTTTCAAAACAGCCTGATGGTAATCTTGAGATTGCATACCCCTGGTCAAGAGTTATATGGCAGCTGTGACATTAATAATAACCGACTGTGATTTATTTTTTCCATTTCACTTTTACCGGAATGATGAAGAAAAAATAACCTGGAAATAAGAGTTTGGCCAGTCTCGGCACAAATGTGTGTCCTTGGAAAACATAAAAGTTTTCACTGAGAAAAATAAAAATAATAAACTAAAAAAGTAAGTAGTTCTGAGAATGAAGGCTTGAAGGCTGAACAAATACATCTCCACAAAGGGAACTTTCTAATAGATGTTTTTTTTGTTACTTCTTAGATGCTAATAATGCAGAAATCCATTTCTTCTGATTCATTAGGTACATGTGAATCCCATTCATTAAAATAAGAGGTCATTTTTCTCTACAGTAAAGTCCATCATGTTAAATTGCCAATCTCTGGAATCAGCGTGGGTGTTTTTGTGCCACTGGATCATTACACCTGCTGTGAAAATGATTGTAGCTTCTCATTTGACCTTTTCCCTCAATCTGTACTCCATTTTGAACATGAAGAGCATTTCTGTTCTCTCTACAATAGAAATTTAATGAAGTGATTTTCAGCCCAAAAGGTGAGAGACATTCATGTGGTTTTATTGTTAAGATAAGCTCAGCATTTTCTAAGGCACTATTTAATGCACAACTCCCATTTGATTTGCTTTTTTGGCAACAATGAAATGATTAGATTTTCTCTGGGTATCAGTGAGTCAGAATTTCCACCTCCAAACTGCCTTAGAAAAGGGCAGTGCTCATGTTTGTTGAGCTGTTTCCTAAACACTACCTTTCCAAACATATAAGCTGGTATTTGGTAAAGCTGGGATCTGATTTTTGTTTAGATACAATATTCATGAACATGTTAATGTCAAAAAATTACCAAATTACGAATTGAACTGAAAAAGTGTACATATACACACATTACACATAGTTCAATATATCTTTCAGCTTTTATATAGTAAATTTAATGAAGAAAATAAGTCATATTTCCATGCATTCTCAAAAAGTAGAACATTAGATCTTTTTTTTCTAAAGGCTAAAACATTAATGGTTCTACCGGCCCACCGTTTTATTGGGAAAACTGCTGACCTGTCATCCTAAAGCAAGTATGGCTGCATAATACCAAGAAAACAAATAACATACAATAATATATGTGAATGTCGCAATGAATGTGATTAATGAATAAATACTTCAGTGTGTTAATGTCTGTCTGCTTTGGGGTCTGCATAAAAATGGAACCAACATAGAAGGTAGTTATCCAGTTACTGAAAATTAAATGAGAAATTATGTCTTGTTCCATAACAAACACGGTTTACCATCCATTTGGGAAACAAACGACTTTGATGTAGCATCTTAAAACACTCAAACACCCTTTTCTGTAGAAGAAAATGGAAAATTAATTGGAAAGAAAAGCAGGAAAGCACAAGGTGCAAAAGAAACATAGTTGGCTGTAGATATGAGATGGAAGAATCAAGAGATAGTTGAGAGAAACAAGAACCCACAATGAAGATGACCTGAAGCAAAGCATCAAAGCAACCTGGACTTCCTGAGCGCCTCAGCATGCCATGCTGCATTAATGCAGCATGGCATGGAGGCATGCTGCATCAAACCAATTAAATTATTATTTTTTAAACTCAAAAGGGCAGAAAGCCTGTCTGAAGAAGCATCACTTCAGATTTTTTGTTTGTTACTCATAGTCTGCAGGAGATCTGTCTTTATGTATTATTCATATACAAACTGCTGAGCTACAGAATGAAAATAGACAAGTAGGACAATCCCTGTGTGGCCTGCAGCTTTAAGACATTTACATTTGTTTACACAAGCATAGGATTTGGATGCCAGCCTTTGCTATTCAGCCTCACCCATTCTACTAACATAGAACCTACTGTAAAGTGTTATAAACATTTAGTGAAACTGGGCCTGAGTGTGTTTGTGTGTGTGCAGGAAGTCTTATTGCTTTAGGAGAATTCAGTTCTTCATTAGTAGTTTGTGAGCACAGGAGGCCTTGTGGGCACCCTGGCTTTTGACTAGCAGAGAAATGTTTTGGCACAGACACGGGTAACTAAGGCCTGCAGTGTTCTGAAGATAGAGGCTAAAGACGCCTTTCGTTTCAGAGTTATTGGTTTGTTCAATAGGCGTCTTCCAAGCAGCACACTGTATTTTTAAGAACACAGAGAATAGGATTTCAACAGATAATGCTCAGATTACATTCTAAAAGAATATTATTTTACACAGTCATTTCTTTAACCCGTGTCATCTGACTGTGATCTACAAACGCAGAGACTCCTCACTTATGGCAAGATAATGACACACTTCACTCCTCAAATTCAATTTTCTCCCAGCGCAATTTAGGTCTCCTAATCCAGTTCCTCCCGAGAGAAGTCTGCCGGATCTAGCCTCGGGCCCCACAAGGAGCATTGTGGAGCATATAGTGGAATGGCTTAAATAGATGGCAGCTAAATTTAGCTGCTATGAGATTGACTAGAGACAGAAAAGAAGGGGGAGCATGCAGAAGATTGCCACAGGGAATGGAAGGGAGGCAGCGGTCTAGTCTAAGGACAGTTTTAAAAAGATTACAAGCGCCATAAAGCTTGATGCTTTTCAGAGAAAATGCATCTTTATTCCAGAGTTTCAAGAGATAAACTCAAATGTATTCCCTAAGCACAGAGGGACCCTTCCTTTTGCTTTTCAGTAAACTTCCAGCTCCGTCTGACGTCCCTTTACTTCTTCAAATAAACATAACTCAGTGTTTTCCCTTGCGTGTATTATATATGCAACGTGCACAGCTGACTATACTTATTTTTCCCTTTGAATAAAACATACAAACAAGCCAACTGTCGCAACACTGGGTCTTATCTGGTCTCTCCTGGGAAAATAAATGACCAAAAAAGGTCAAGAGATTAAGCGACACAACAGGATGTGTCTTTAATGGTATCAGTGAAGCAAAAACTAAAAGGAAACTTGTGCTCACAGGCTCCCATGCAAAGCACCCGCGATATGCACTCATAATATGCAAATGTAATAGTCTGAATGAGACAGGAAATGTCAACTGAGGATGGCTCAAGTTGAATAAAAGCTAATAAAATAAAATAAAATAAAAAAAAAACGAGGATATTTTTTGGGAATGTGACAAAGACTTGTATAACTTCAATATACTGGATGGATATCAAAAGAAAGCACATTGTTCCTGTGACGCTGTGACATCAAAACATTACAAACAAGTTTTCCGTTTGAAGCGAGCGACCAGGAAAACGTGAAGCGACGGAGGCGGTGCCGTGTGAAGAGAAATAATGTACGACTGCTCTGTTAGAGGTTAAAATAAAACAAACAACAGAATGTTCAGACTCGGGTTGTTCTTACCGTGTTGGGGAACTTTACTCCAGACCCCGGAGAAGGTGAGAGATACAGCAGGCTGTCCCGTCTCTTTCCAACCAACTTGGGAACTTCGAAGGTGAAGTCTGAACTCAAGAGTTACACGTCACTTGACCAATCGCACTCTGAGGTCGTTCTAGTCCCGCCCCTTTTCCGTACCACTGAACCAATGAAAGTTTTCCTCGACAAACACGCTCATAGGTTGTTTGACAAGCTGTGTAACTTATTTTAAATTGTCACACATTTTAAGTTGATTTCTTTGGCGTGCAAAGAAAAACGAGCACATAATTGTGAAATGAAATGAAAATTACACATTTTCTTATTGTGTGCCAGCATTTAGCTGGGGATAAAACTGTTACAAAACAATATCCTAAGCTTTGGACATAATATGGAGCACTGTTCAATTTATTGATCATCCGTATATAGGACACAATCCAACACCTGCCATGACTTTTCACCTGAATACACAGGCCTGTCAAAAACAGAAATAATTTACAAAGCAGCAAAGAGGACCCTTGGTATCTCTGGAGGAGGTGCACAGATTCATAGCTAAGGTGGGACAATCTGTTGATATGAAGAAAGCCATTGGCAGAAGACAGCCATGACAATTTCAGATTGCAGTTGACACAAGACATGTGGAAAAAGTCTTGGTCTTGTCTGTTCAGGAAGGCAAGCTTTTCTTTGCTGTGATCGTCAATCTTAAATCAAATTCAAATAGGCTACATCCACTTGAACACGCCATCCTGACACTGAAACAAGGTGGCAGCAGAATGATGCGGTGGCCTTTTCTTCAGCAGGGACAGGGAAGCTGGTCAGAGTAGCAAAACTCTTGAGGATTGCTGGGAGGGTTACACTTGTTTTTTTGTTTTTACTTCTCACCATAACAATGTTTTTGACACATAAACCTGGATTTAGTTGTTCCACATAAAGTGCCAGATATTCATCCAGCTTCTTCTAACTACCACATGAACAAATAAAAAGAAAGAAACAACATATGAAGGTAGAAATATTTAATTTATTTAATGGCACATCAAGGAAAAGCAGGTTTCCAGTCCAAAAAAAAAAATCCAAGATCTTCAGAGTGATGCTTTAAAATGTTGACCCCAGTCAAGCAGCATTGAAGAATGATTCCTCAACCTCAAAATGGACATACTATGGACACTAAAACAGAAACGGACGGATTTGAAATATTGCCAAGTTTGCTTAGTGACCTAAATATAAAAAAGTATATTATTTAGTTTGGTAAGAGCACAAATTGCACAACAGATCACTCACCACAGCTCTTCCAAGAACGTTCTTCATACGCTCCAATGAAATGCAGACTAAAACTGCATTTTACAGAGCAAATGTTCAATACGTCAAATGTTTAGTTTACAGCTTGTACTTTCTTTCGGTCCTTCAGTCAAGGATCTCCTTTATACACCAGCAGCAGAGGAGGAAATAAAGACACTCCTTAACTGACTGGATGAAACCATAGGAAAAATTCCCTCCGAGGAAGTTCTTGCCCCGTCCGAGACCCATGGTCATGTCCCGCAGGTGCTGCCCTAAGGAGGGCGCAGGCATGGCTTGGGGAAGAGGACGCTGGGGGTGCATGGTTCAGGCAGCAGAATCAATGCAGAGGCAAAGGTGAGCCGTCAGTGAGAGTGCATGTAGAAGGATGCCTGTCAGGTCAGGCCAGGTTGCCTCTACTGTCCAAACTGCAGCTGCCTCCATTCACATCCAGGATTTTCTCTTCTTCTTTCAATCATCTGCTGATTTTTTTAAAAGCTTTGTTTATCACACTCGTCTGTGTTCAATCCCCACACCAAAACAGCTTAGGACACCCCACTGTCACAGCTTCTGTTAACAAATGGGAGAGTTCCAGTGGGTCCCCATCCACATCGCACCTTTTGTTTAGGACAGTATATGTTGGAGCTGCACACATTTCTAGCAGTGTATTGTAGAGCATAAACATCTCGGATTTGACCCTTCAACCACAAGAACAACTTTTCTCTCGGTTCTTCAAAGAGTCCCTACCGGACCACGGGTGTCCCCAAAATAATCCTTCATTTCCTGCAGAAGGCTTCAAGTGATCTTCAAAATAAGAGATGCATCTAACCTTGTGCTCAAAAGGTTTTCTTTGAAACAATCTGTTAATAGTTGTAGCTTCAAATAATGATTTATTTAAACCTTGAATGCGAATTGTGAGACAGTATCTCTACAGTATCTTAATACATTTGCTGTCTCAGTCTAAAAGTGTGTAAAAGGAATTATGAAATCAGTTTTTATTGAAAATTGCTGCCTTACTTCAAGTCCATCTCTGATTGGGTGATTAGCTCTTGGTGAGGACTCCTTTCCGAGGAGCACGTTACTGAGAACTGAGCTTGGAAACTGACCAAACCTTGTTCTCCATCAAGAACTTTGTCTCGTTCCAGTCTGTGAGGTTTATTCCCAGTTCCAGAAGTAATCCAGATGTAAGAAAGTCCGGATATCCAAAGGGCCACCTTTTCAGAATGAGCCGTTGTAGCAGGAAAACAAACCAGAGCATCAGCAGAGATGAAAGTGGCCAAACCACTTAAGCAGAAATGCAAGATATTTCCACAAGTGCCTCATATGACTAAAGTAAGGCACTTTTTCCTTTTTAATTTGTGGTTGTTCTGGTACATTAAGTTCATACTTGATACCAAATCTCAATCAATAATTTTACTAGTGAATCCCCTCATTCTAACACTTTACTTTCTTAATAATAGGAGAGTAGAATTAGTGTAGCATCTTTGCTTCATTATTTCGCTTGCATAATTAACTAGGGAATAAACAACATTTTTGATTGGACTGATTACAATCTCGATAATTCTCCCTCGATTGATTCTGACAGACAAAAATCTCTGAGCTTTTATATTTGTCAGATTACCAAGACGAGATCCAAAGAGTTAGACAAGGCTTTGGTAGGTAGGACTGGTTAAACACAGCTTACGCTACAGGATACTTTGTTTTTCTGATTTCAGTTAAATGCAAGTTAGTCCAGTAAATTACCAAAATGAGCTAAAATGCAACTAAAACCCACAATGATGAGTGATGTATTTATATATATTTATCTATATATGCAATCTATATTTTCAGTTACAGGTGTAAACAGACATGTTTCCCTATAAAGGAAAACAGAATGGAAAGAAAATATAAAGTACAAATCAATATCTTTGCACACAATTCAAATAGAACCTTTGGCTTAAAATCATAAACAGCATCAACGACACTATTACTACTGCAAACAACAAAACATCGTTTTAAAACATATTTTCATGCAACAAAGGCAACTGTGATGAGCAACAACACAGGACCAGTTCACTAATGATACAGAGGGTCAGCTGAGTCTATTCCAGCACAACATGCACACACAAGTAACGACGGCGCTCCTTTCTGGTTTTCCTATTTCTGACCCATCTGAACAGTTGCCACTCTGATATGTGCGCACGTTTGATCACATGCGACTGAAAGGTCCCTTCTCACATTTCAACATTTTTGGTTTCAACCTCTCTTACATTCTAATATGAACAACCTTAATGCTGTACAGTCTGCGTTCCTCGTTGAATAAGTCATTAAATACACAACAGAAACAATATTTAAGCCGATCACTCTAAAATGAATGTTATTTACAGGTGATCGAGAAATATATACTCCCTCTCAACCCCCTCCCCAATGGTGACATCAAGTATCTGTGACTAGAAGCTGAATGCAGGAATGTGCATCAGAGGAGATTGCCATCACTGGAGCCACATGTTGTCGTCATCAGGGTGTTCATTTTGCAGAGTTTTTGCTAAACTGAGATTCTTCTGTAGTTGACTACATCTGAATAAAGTACATAAGGTGACTGCGTTAAAAAAAAAACATGACTGCATTGAGGAAACAAGGCACAATTGAAAAGATAAAACGCATCATGAACTGAGGGGAGAGGAAAACAGCATTAACTTCCCCCCTTTATTAATCCATGTATGTTTGAAAGTAGCACTGAAGATCGAAACCGCTTCAAAAAAATGATATATAGTCATGTAGAGTACTTTGTTTCATCAAAGGTTTTTGTTTTTCTTAAAAAGATGATTTCATATTATTAAACATAATGACAGAATACACTGCATTAATTTTGTAAGCAAAATGCTCTTACTTAAAGACTGCTGAGCATTTCTCACCTTTGCTTTTTCTCTGTAGCTATAACTCATAGATTGTCAATGCAAACACACACTAAAGAGCTATTGAAAAGCAACCTTCATGCTTCTCAAAATGCACCATTTTTTTCCTCTGTGGCTGACATCAGTGTACTTTAAAAATCTCCTCTTTGACGCAGGATTCAGGCACAATCACCTCAAATCATTTCTCCACTAAAAAAACAAGCCCATTTAGAAATTAATTTAACATAACTAGGCATGGGCCAGTTACCAGTACTCATGTGTACCACGGTTTTAAACATGAGTGGAACAGAGTGTTTTCACATGAGATGTGAGAGAAAATGCCACTAACCGTTTACTTGTTGCTGCCCATTACAGGTCAGCTGGTGACTAAAAAAAATGGTGCAACCCTTTACAAATTCAGTTGCAAGTTTGGAAAGTATCTGACTGTGCCATCGACCTGACTAATTATGTAGCTTCAGCTTAAAATATCACAGTTTAGCAGTAAAATAAATATTTCACATCAATATCGTGTAATTGTAGCAGCAGCAATAACTGTTGGTGTTCTGTGTCAAATAAAGGGAATTACATCACTAATTTGTTTAGTAGATTTTTACATTGTTTGATTCCATTGTAGATTTTTACATCATGAGAATATAATACCGGCCCATGCCTAGAGACAACTGCTAGAGTCATGGCTTCTCTTTTTTTTTTCCTTTTTCGTAAATAGCAACCAAGTTTATGATCTTTGGCATGACATGAGAGTGTTTATGGCGTGTAAAGGTGAATATATACATTTGCATGTGTGTTTAAAAGGTTTGGGGAGATACAGCTGTTTTGATCTTCCTGTACTCCACATGTCCAGTAAGTTATTTGACTCATGATAACAGAATATACAAAACACAATGAAGGTGGTGGTGTTTAGCATAGCTTTTGCATACAGGCTTTCCTACAAGGTCCAAGGTACTCAGGCTGGAGTGACCGGAGGTGGGTCAGTGCTCCTCATAAGATGGGCGGTGCACTCGTTTATGCATATTTGCCTGTCTTGTCACGTTTACATCTCCGGTGAGACTTGAAGGGTGAACTGAACTCAGTCAAGTCCCTGAAACCGCCTGGCTTCTTTTTGTCAAACATAAATGCTCCAGCGATGCTCCGAGGACGAAATATTTCCCCTCCTAAATAAGACACCGAGCATCTCAATCCAAGTCTGTTCGCTTTCCTCCACAGTTCAACCATTTTAGAAAACAATTCCTTGTATTCATTAGCAGTTCTGTTTTTCTCCTCAAACAAATAAAATAAAGAAAAATAATTGCATGTTTTCAGCCCTGTTGTGATGTTGCTGAAGGGCTCCTCCCTGCTTCACAGTTGGTTCAGAAAATGCAGCAGTGCCTCTCTGTGGTGGGTGGGTAGGTGGGTGAATCCAATGGGTTTCTAGGAGACTGCTGGTCACAGATTGGCAGAAGATGTGGCAACAGAAATAAGAAAGTGATTTGTTTTTTTTTTGCTGAGAAACAGGTGATATATTTTAATTATTTTGGCTTGTAGTCATGTGTGTTTCATGGGAGTGCTGTGTGTAGTGTTGTGTGTATTAAAGCGTATGATTTTGGGAGTGTGTTGTGTGGATTTGGAGAGGGAGTGAGAGTCTATTTTTGGTGGAGTATTTCATTGGCGTGCGTGGCTTCAGGCCCTGCGCGCCACTGGCTGCTGCAGGAACACTTCGCTCCCGGCTGACACAATGGGCAGTTTGTTGTCCGTGTGGTAACTGATTAGGTGGCTGACGCTTCCGAACCGGTGGTCTTTTGTGCGCACCTAATGGGTGAAAAATATTATGCGTTACCATCAACACCACTATGTCCAATAAAAATGTAATGCTTCTTCAACTCCCCCGACGTACCACTCCCTCTGGGTCAACAAGAAGCAGGTGTTTGGGCTGACCCCCCTGCTGTCCGGTAAGGACGTACTGCCCAGGAGTGGTCCCAGATTCCCGGACAAGGAAGTCTCCGTCTCGGGTCAACAGTCTCTCCGCCTCTTTTCGACTCAAGCTACCGTGGAACCAGATTTCGCTCTGCAACTCTTGCACCAGCGACAGCGGTACCACCACTGATGTTGGGCCAGCGTGTCCAGACACTCCCAAGGCATCATCGAGCGGTTCTTGAAAATAACAAATGAAAACACATTGTAACATTATAGCGTGGTTTAGAGGACATGATCCAAGCTATAAACACATTGTAATAAAGACAAATGGGTAGATAGAATAAACAGATTGAGGGTTTGTTAGACAGACAAACTGATAGACATCTTGAAGGATAGTTGAACAACAAAAGAATGGATGAACTGAGAAATGAAAATTTGGATGAAAACAAATGGATAAAAGTTTAAATATATGTATAAATTGAATGTATAACTGGATGGAGTATCAACCTGATGGATAAACAGGAGAATGATCAAAAAACTGATTAATTAATGATTGGACAGGCAGACCAATATGCAACTATGAACAATATTGAAATGAAATGACTCCACTTAAGTTTTGAATGATTCACCTGCTGTGGTCTGAATTCACAACCTAATAACTTCCTACAGGTTTGCATCTGGAGGAGAAATCTGCACTAGAAGTATCATAGTTGACCTGGGTCGATCTCATAGGCAATGTGCCCAAGCCAGATCCAACTATTACTAACTTTAATGAGAGGCCTGAGGCTGAATTAAACCCAACATATTGTAAGTAAGCTTTTGTTTTTAATGCACCATTTGGTGCTTTGTTACTTCTCCCATTTTTAGCCTTTAACATCTTCAAGCTCCATTTTGTCACCTGTTGAATCAAATGCAAATCTTCCGGGATGTATTGATAGGAGCAGAGCAGGGCAGAGCTGCGTGACGCATTTAGCTGTACAGTGTGCTGTGACTGTTACAGTCTAACTTCTGCACTTTAACTTCTTTCCTCAACAAGGTAAACTGATTCCTCTTCTAGTTAAACTATAAATAGATTAACACAACATGGTATTCCATCTTGAACATGCTGGCACACTGGACAATGGAATTAAGAGTACCATGTCAGTGATCAGACAGCCTGACAAATGATCAAGTTTGAATACTGTTTGGTGGATTGAAGGATCGACGAGTACAATCTTCAGCTGCAGAAATAATTTTTGGAAATAAAATTATCTTTCATACTCATATTTTTAACAGAAAAATACTCAAACACAGGCAAATCATTAAAAATATACATTTATATATCTTTCAAACTGCATCATAATTCTGCAGGCAATGCAAATTTAATGTGGAAAACTCCAAGAGGCTTGTCAATGTTTTATAAAATGCAAATTTAGTCCCATATCTTTCCTATCTGTCCCATATGGCTTCCTTGCAGAAGCTTCTGTTTTTAGTTTGAATCTGCTGGAATGACAGCTTTTTCCACTGTGAATGTACAACCTTTATGTTTCTGCACACAGTAATTACCAGTTATTTTTCTGTTTTGATTACAACCCACACATCCCATTTACAACAATTCATATCAGTGTTTCCTTATTTCACAGCAAATTGCTTTATTGTGGCACCTCTGTATTTCACACAACCGTGCAGTTGAGCTCAGAAAGTTAAGAAATTACATTTTAAACTAAGCTAAGCTATGGAGAAACACTCACTCATGTCAAATACGTCTCTGTGAGCATTTCCATTAGCTGCTACAGAAGGTCTGGGTTTTTCCACATTCACGTATGACGGGTCGTCAAACAGCTCCCGGCCTCCTTCTTTGGCACCCACTAAAAAACAAAAAAAATTATAAAAAGGTGTACAAAGACATTTTCTGCTTTCAAGTTAAAGAACATGAAGAAAACATTTTCCTATTATTAGGGTTAAAATACACGTCTTCAATTTAAACACAGTTAAAAAAAAACTAGACATTTTTTCCTTTCTGAATTTCCAAAAAATGATAGGCACAGAGAGGCAAAGACGGAGCTCACCTGGTAGAGGAGGCACAGGCTGTTTGTGAATGTCGCTCTGACCTGGCTGCCCGTAGGGCTGCAAACAAAAAACAATCAGAAGACCAAAATAATGTAGCTATTCCAGGATTTCTAAAAGGATTACAAAGGTCAAGAATTATATGAAGCAGATGTATTCCTTATGGGTTATAGTAATATTTGCCACAGCTTCCAAAACTACAACTTGAAAATGCACTAAAATACTAGTTAATAACCAGCACATTGTAACTAGGCCAGTGGTGAATTTAGGCATAAGCAGATCTTATTCCCTTTCTAATCCATTCATTCTCACCAGAGTTGCTCCTGGACGAGTCCTCATGTCAATCAGCCCACCAGGGGGAGGCTGCTTATCAGGAAAATTATTATAGTAAGGAACCTCAGTGGAAGGAGGAGGAGGAGGGACAGCCTCGTCATCTTCTTCCTCCCATGCAGAGCCATCAAACGGAGCCATTCTGACAAAGACAAAATGTTTAGAATACAAAAAACAGAAAAAAGTGAAGAAAAAAAAAGCACTGGCTGAGAAATTACCAAAAAAGAGCTGCAGCTTATTTGTGAGCTGTACCTGTCATGAGGTGTGACCAGTTTGGGGGGGTTCTTCAGGTACTGTTTGAAACGCAGCTCAAAGGCCTGGCCGATGGTGCTGATGACTTCCTGTGCTAAGCCCTCGGAGCACTCCAGGATGTGACATGCTGCAGTCGAGGAGGTACACATAAAAGATAAGAGGTCTGCAGCAACATGTCCTTGAAATAAATGCAGCACTCAGACAGGCAACACCATTCAAACAGAGGCAGGGCAAGAAAGAGAGCAATAGAGAAGAGGGAAGGAGAAATAGCAAGAAGAGAGAAGGAAGGGAGAAGAACAAATTAAAAAGAGAATAGGAGAGCAAATAGTCAGGAAAAAAAGCTCAACAAAAAAAGGAGGAAAACAGACAAAAGCAAAGAAGACAGAATGAGAATGCAAAAAAGAAATGTATGCATGTACAAAGCATACATTTCTTTGTAAATGCAATATTTTCAAAGTATTTGACAGAGAAAAAAAATATAAAAAAACGGCAATAAAGTTCAATCAACTTACACCAGCAGCAAATAAAAATCTGAAATGTGTTAAATTTTTTAACACATTTGGGTTGGAGACAAAACAAGTACAACAAAAAAAGCAGACTAAATGAAGATTTAAATACAATAAAGTAACGAACAGTGAAACAGCTCATTCTAATATCATTTTTAAAGTATTAAAATAGTCAACTACTCTCAAAGTGTTTGGGGGAAATATAATCTCTTCCCTTGTCATAAGAATCTTATGTATGAACAGCAGATTACTTTTAATCTAGGTGGAACTCAATTTCAATAAATCACAAGATGCATTCATATGAGGCTCGTCAGAATGAAAGTCCTTTGAAAAAAACAAAAACCTTTAAACATACTTTTAATTAAGCCTACATTTCTGTGCTAAAAATGTCTTTTTATTTATTTTTTAATCTAAAATATTGTGTTTTCATTCATTTAAAGAAAAAAAAGACGTGAAAACATCAGTCCAATCAGATTCAATTGTGATGAATCTGTATAATGTGTTCCACTAAGAAGTGAACCACGTTACTGAAATAAATGAACTTTTCAATAATATGCTAATTTAATTAATACGATTGCTCATGTCAATAATATTTATTTAAAAAAGAAGTGGGGGTTAATCAAGTGAAAACCTACAAAACAAATAAATCCTAAAGTCATTACTAAACGCAACAAGAAGCCTGCAGAGGTATTCAGATCCAATTTGCTCCTCCTTCCTGATGTTCTTCTGAACTCCTCTGCATTCATTACTGATGTGGCAGAAGAACAGATTACTGTCAGAAACTACTCAAACGTTTCTAACCTCCTTTTATTCTTTCAGCAAAGAGAATAAAAAAAAGAAAAACATCTGTCATATTTTTCTGCATTTTATTTTCAATGACAAGAATGTAACTTTTGTTCTTTCAGTTCAACAACTTAAATTTATATTATCTAGTCCAGTGGTTCAGTCCTTTTCTGTAGAAAGTAAGTATGTATTTTTATAACCCAAATGTTATCAGTAATAACTGAATCACAAGAACAATGGATCAGTAAAACATAACAAATGCAGGAACAACTGGGGATAAAGAGAAATATAACTGCATATCATCTACTTACTGATAAAAGCTCATAAGTTACTTTATCACACAGAATAACAAGAAAAGGACAGGGCTATGTTTAGAGCTATGGAGGAGCCTCCGAGTAATAGGTAATAAATGCAACAAAAGAACCACTGTTCAGTTAGCAATCAGTTAAATCATTCAAATGTTGAAGCCAAAAAGGTCAAACTGGTTTTGAATCCTGTTCTGTAAGATTTTATGATGAAAAGAAACAGAAGAAGCACTTCAGTCATGAAGCATTTTCAGGACAGCTGTTTCAGTGCTGCCATGTAACCGAAAGATTACATGATCCTTCTCAGAGAAGATTGTTGGTTTAAGAACCTAAAATGCAAACTCACTCAGCTTCGGTCTGGATGGATGGCCATGTTTGGGACACAAAGCCAAATATTTAATATAAGTCAACATATTCAGCGTTTATAGATGCCCTACAGAGTAGAGTTTTTTGATATGTTGTGTATTCTTTCTTCCTGTGCCGTGTGTATTTAATGTCTCAGCTGTGGTAGGCGGTGTTTTAAATACAAACCCCAATAAAGCAGATAAGCTTTTTCATGCACCTAATGAGATTAATTTGTATTACTTCAATGGAAATGTTAGGCAAAATGATGATCATAGTGCACAATTTCAGGCTCCATTTCCATGTGTTGTACAATTCAACACAGAAATCAGGTGATTCATGTAAAACTCCCCGAAAAGGAGTCAAAGCTGTGGTTTTGGACAGAGGCAGCTGCTGTTTTTACTCACCTCTCTGGTTGACTGGATCTTTGGCCACATATGCTACATACTCAGCTGTATCCTGTGGGAGCAAGACAGGGGAAACACAGTTAGAGGAGGAAGGGAAAGGGAAAAATCAATAGCAGGAAAAAGTGAAGGGCAGATTTAAGATCGGAAGACTGAGATAAAGACAACTAGACGGGTAAAGCAGCAGCTGTAGTCTCTAAGTTGCAACAAGGGTGAAAATCATAAAGCAAGCTGAAAAGGAGAAGACAGGAAGTGATGTGGTCAGAGACTCTGAGCTAATAAGGCAACAATGAGGTAAGTGGGATTCATAGGAATAGACAATGACTTAAGATAGGAAGGAAGCACATGCAGGCTGAACAGAAATGGAAAAAAGCCAGAGTGAGGCCTGAGCTTAAAAAGACAGAGAGCAAGAGAGACAGAGAGAGATGGGCGACTCACTGGGTCTCCTCCAGAAGCAAAGGAGATGGACTGCATGTGATGGTTGGCGATAATCTGTGGAGAAAAACAGAGGAAGAACGGGGGACAAAGAAAAAAAACAGGAGAACACATGGGTGAGATGAAGTATGCGGGGAGTGAAATGAAAGCGTCTGGATGGGACACAAACATGGAGTCATTACTGAGAAAAGGCCTTTTTCCTCCACTGAACACCATCATCTGCAGCAGACACTTCTGGAGCACTTTTGTAAACAGTCTGCAACAACCATCCAAGATGAATCAATATCAATATTAAACTGTATTAATGCTCCTTGGCCTGAATCTGTTCCCATGCCTGAATGGATACATGTGCAGAACAACATGCTCCGCTGTCCCATATGTTGTTATACATGGCTGTACGACATCTCCCAGCAGATTGCCTACTTTGTATTTATGAACACATTAGAGGTCTTAGAGGAGCATCACATCCTGCCCAGTGGCAAGAATAAAGCCAGGAGGAATCAGTCCAGTGAATGAGGCTCACAAAGTGGAATAACTAATGGATCTGCATGAATGACCTAGAAAATCCCACAGCTGATCAAAACAGTGAATTGAATTGTAAATCCTTAAGATTTGTGTTTATCATACAAGGAAGATGGTGTGTGTATTGCAAGCAAGAATCTTATAAAAATATTTCCATAAATAACTACAAGATTTTTGTCAGAGATGACAAATACTGAATAGACACTTAAACGGGATTTGAAAAACAAATTCTTTAAGGATTGATTGTTGTCTGCAGTCTATGGATTTTGATCTAGGAGAACCATTTAACTTGTGGTTAGTGTCTTTACGACTATTCTTTAAGACACATTTTATGGTTAACTGCTGCCAAAGGCCTTACTGTTAGACAAAATATTAATGTGCCTTTCATTTCTTGAGTTGTTTTCTAGAGTTCTGAACTGCATTACAAATAGTGCTGCTATTAATTGTGGACTGTTTTTGTGCTGTTTTTCTTGTAAAGTACACCTGTGACAATTATTGTGTGTTTGGTTGAATCTCTTTGCTGGCTCAAGTCATTGCTGAACGTATGGATGTTTTTAGCCTTTTCTTGTTTGTTACTCTTTCAAAAAAAGCATCCCTGTTTGAATGCTCAATTTTTTTGTTTTCTTTCCCACAGAAAGCACTCCGAGCTTATGAATCTGTGTTTTTTCCTGTCGTCTTCCCGTCCTTTCAACCCCTGGTTAGCTGCGACAAAGGGATGCTAACACTTAAACTGAGTCTGCAGGAAGTTTCTTCTATTCACACTGGGGTTGTTCCCCTGAACTCCAACACATGCTTGCTCTGTAGAAACAATTGCTGCAAAATCAGAGACTTCACCCACCTGGCTGAGCTTAATACTTACATTCCATTTATAAATGTTCGACAACAATTAGTATTGTTTAACAAACTGAATTTTGATCTTTTTACAATTAACACAACAAAAACAATACATTTGTTGCTGGCTTTTATTAGTTTGGCTTTACATGTAAGCATCGACTGACCACCAATTTCCCAAAATTAAGGAAATCGGCTGGTTGATAAATCAATGCAGCCCTACTATAAGTTGGACACACATTTGAATGTGATTATATGATTAGAATGAATTAATCCCTGTTTGTCTTGTATTGTAAATTGGCACTCAATATGTAAGCTGAAGTGAAACTGAAATGAACTGTAATAATTGCATCTTCTTGATTTGTCTTCTGCGATACAAACACTTGTGTCATATCGCAGGTCTGGCAATATGGCACATGGCTTCATTGTTGCGGATACTGCAACAATGCAATATCCTCATTGTTGCAGTTCCTTTTTAACAATGCATCACTCTTCTGGAATTCATGGAGTGAAACTAAGAGATGAAGCCAGCTGAAACAACACAGAAAATGTGCCAAAAGTAACACCAAAAGACCAACCTTTTTACATATTTATAAAAACACTTTCAGTCTAACCTGCTTGCAGTCTGAGGCCAGTAGATTGAGGCTGCTGGTCGAGATAGTTAGGCTGATTGTCATGCCTGCGAACTGCAAGTTACTTTTCCCCAGAATGTACGTCAGAGAGCGAGAAGAAGGCTGCAAAAGACAGGCATACATTGTTATGAGTTGTAAACAAAACCTTTTGAACACACCAGAAACAACTAGAGTTTTTTTTTTTATATTCTCCCACTTCTATAAGGCATAATAATATCTACAAGGTGCTTCTTTTGTGAAGTAGAGTACTTGGCAGAATGTGTGAACGTGCATGCATGTGTGGGAGTGACAAAACAGCTGCAATTGTTAATCTGCTCTCCATGGCCAACTGTGACCAACAGAGGAACCTCGGCCAAGACTGTCACAGAAACCTCGACAGTAACAATGTGTCAGTCCAACCTTGTTCTTTCATTCATGACTATCTCCAAGTGTGTAGAATATGTAATAAGAAAAGCACCATCAGGACTGAATGAGCATGCCTTACCACATTAACCTCAGTCCTGTCAAATAAGAGAGCCTAGACCAGTATAATCTATTCTAGTATAAGTACTACCACTGTATTTTGTCTGGGGCGCTTCCCTGCCAGACATTCCTTGGTTAAACCCTGCAATGGCAGCAGGCAGCTGGATTTAGCCACCTGTTTTATGGATGTTTTCAGTTTCATACGTGCACAGACACTCAAATTCTTTAAACAGCAGACTGGTGACTGTGTCTGCTAATCTAAAGTACTTTAAGAACATCATTGGCTCCACATAAGCGTCCCTCGTGGCAAGGGGGAAGCAGGAGAGAGACTGAACAGCAATATCGAGTTTACAATTAGCTCAAATGAATATCTGTGCATTTCTGTCTCCTTCTATCAGCATACAATTGTGAACAGGAAAGTAAATGATACACAAGTTCCAGCAAGTTTTCTTTTTATATAAAATAAATTTTGAATTGTTTTGATGCATTTGTATTTGAGTGCACTTAGAGGAACATCTTGACCAGATTTCTGCAGCAGAGGCCAAATTTCTGCCCATGCAAAAATAATTCAAGCTCAATCAGATTGGAAGCAGAATGTATGTGTATATACATTTTTCAAGTTTTGCCAAAGATTCTAAGTTACATTGAGGTCTGGACATTATATTTCTGGTTCTCTGTTTAGAGTCATGTTCCTGATGGAAGGTGATCGACTGCCCCAAATTAAAGTCTTTTGCATCCTTTTGCAGGATTAATCACTAAACTGATCCATGGCACCTTCTTCCACATGTTTGCTGTGTTCCTATGCAGATTAATGAGTCTGTGAGACAGAACCTGGCTGAACAGCCAACTGACCACAGGGTGGACAGTCAAGATAAACAGAGATTTCATCCAGAAAACCCTTCCTCCTGCTGTCCACTTGAGCTGTATAAATAAATAATTTTCTGAGTAAGGGTGTGGTCGAGTGCAAGCTGTATGTACCTTTCTCCTGCGGGATCCTTTGGCTCCAGGTACTGCCTCACAAACCACAGCTATAGCCTCTCTGACAGAGAAAAGATATATACATGTCAGGCAAGTTACTTTCTCTTTTCTGGACTCATGTTGAGGCAGATTAAAAAGAAATCTGCCAGAGGGTAGGAGAGTTCATCTTCCCTGACAACTGTGCTGCTCTTTACCAGTTAGACAAATATCACTCCGGAAACCACAAGGAAACCAACAGTATTCCAGAGTGTTCTAATTTAAGGCTTCAGGGAACAGCAGGGTGCATATATACACACACACACGCACGCACGCACAGAAGCAGACAGAGAGTAAAAAAACAAGTAAGCAAAACAGACCAAAAGCAGGGCAGAAAAAGAGGTAGCAGAAAAAGACTTGAGGTGAGCAGAGCATGTCAGCGTACAAACCCAATATGTCTTTAAGACTAACCACTGCCACTTTTCTTACATTCTCACTCTCTTACAATGCTCTCTGTTGAAACAAGAGAAGGAAAACGCTGTCTTTTCCTGTGTACATTCTCACCTGGTGACCTGAGTTCTGGTGCCGAAGTCAAGAGCTCTCATTGACTGTAGCACCTCCACACAACCCATGTACTGTTTAGGAAACAGGAAGGCAACAAGTTAACAAGAAACATTTCCTTTGTTGCTGTAACATGAAACACAAAGGAAGCAAACTAAAGAAAATCATGAACAAATGGCAGCCTGGCCAGAGAAACCTTTACGGTTGTGCTCATAAGTTTACATACCCTGGGAAAAGTCATATGTTTGGGTCTTTTTAAAAACAAAATATGAATGATACAAAGACTCTCTTTCACCCACGGTTAGTTGTTGGATGAAGCTGTTTAGTATGCAACAATTGCGTTTGCTCTTTTGAATTCCAGGGTTCCTACACTTTTCATGCAAATTTTCTAGACTTTGCAGACCTCAGGCCTTTTATGCGCCTCTATAAATGTAAATTACGCTGCAAATTTAGGACCAATATTTCTGCAACAGCCAGGCTTTAAATATTGAAGGTGCAAAATCCAGAAACGGAAAGTAAGGAGGGATGCAAGGAAGGATGGAAGAATAGATAACAGAAGAGGAAGAACACAAATAAGGTAGGGTTGTTGGAATCAAGAAAGTCAGGACAAAATGAAGGAAAAAGGAAAGAAGAAATAAAGGAACAAAGGAAACAAGGAAGTATGTAAGTTACAAAGGAACTATACATCTTCTGTATATGTTTTCTCTGAGGAGGAACTATCTACTTTATTTTCTGAATAAAGCTCGGAAAATCAGTTGAAAATATTTTTATTATTCAGACCAGGAAAATAATGTAATAAATTTTTTTTTTCAAAAAAAGTGTAGGACAAATGTATACTACATAGACAACAGAAACTAGGAGGAGAGCCTGATCACAAATTCACAGAGCCTAGAAGTTTTGTTTTGATTACACACCTTCCAAGCTGAAACAAAAAGCTTAAATAGCTCCTGAAGGCAACAATCCTCACCTCTGGTATTGCTTGTGATTAGTGTGTGTAAAAAAAAAAAAAAAGGCAGAGTCTTTGGGCTCCTTTGTGTTTCATGTAAATTTTGTTTTATCTATATTTTCTAAAAAACAGTTTAGCAAAAACTGAAATTTTAACATGGTATGTAAACTTATGAGCAAAGCTGTAGTGTTGTGGCATGAGACTCACAACATTTCAGATTTTTCTCTGACTGGTTCATGTTTTCACACATTATATATCCAAAGAGAGTGATAATACAAGAGTGCTAGCTTACCCGTACTGTATAGCAAACCCCACTGGTGCTGACCACATTGTCTGAATGCAGCCAGCCACGGGTGGGCTTGTTGACAAAGGAGCCATGGCGTGTCCATTCATCTCCTCCCAGCTGACCTCCTTCCACCCGTGCCCTTCTGGAGGCCCCTGCAAGCCGGTTCATGTCCTGCAGAGGAGGTCGGGGAGGGGGACAGGGAGCAGTTAGGAGGGCAACGTGTTGATGAAGAGGAGGAGAGGAGCTGGAATTGCGCCTGTCATCTCCAGAGGACTCAACAGGCGCCTGAGCCGGCTGTGACCTGCTAGCAGCCCTGGGTCCTGGGAGAAGGGTAGCGGAGACACCCAGACGAAGGGATTTCATACTGGGGAAGAAGGAGCAGAGAGTGGTAGGGCTGTTTTCAGCCTGTCTGGGAGATGTGGGGGGCAAGATGGGAGTGAGCGACGAGGAGGAGAGAGAGGACGGTAAACCAGGGGACGGGGTAAGCGGAGTGACTGGGCTGGAAGGCGGAAATGATGATGGGTTGGAGTTTGTTTCATCGGTTGAGCTCAACGACTCACTCCGAATGTGGGTGTACTTGGCTTTCTGCACAAGTTCCATAGTTATGCAGGGCGAGATTTTAAGTCCACACAGGCTGCAGCGATTTAAAGTCTTTTTGTCTCACAATTCAAAGTTTTCCTTTGAAAGGACATACAACCATCTGTCCTTCTTGCTCACTGCAAGAGCTCTACATCCATCTGTTTGGTTGTCTGTTCTCCACTCGTTACCAAGCAGCCGAAAACAAACTGCAATAAAATTGGCTTTATCCACAACGAGTGCAAGATGGGAGACGGTGCGTTGGAGAAGCCGGGCCTCCACCATAAAGTTGGAATACAGATGAAAATAGTTTATTAGTGCACAAGTACAGCTCATTTTGTCCTCAGTTCTTTTGTAAAGTTTTTGTTTGTTCAGTTCCCCTGAATAGATGAAGACAAGCTTTTAGCTTTCCACAGAGGGTTCCTTGTGGTGTTTGTACCCAATGTAAAACGACATCCGGGAGTGCCTCATCCCGACGTAATTGGCAAAGTGTAAATGTTACTCAGCTGTCACCAGCACCATGAAGAATCAAGACAAGTGATTGTCTCTCTAAGCCCCCTTCTGTTTGTCTGAGGAGTGCACACTTGTTAATGATCTGCCTACATGTGTGGGGCAGTATTTATCTTTGTGTGTGTGTGTGTGTGTGTGTGTGTGTGTGTGTGTGTGTGTGTGTGTGTGTGTGTGTGTGTGTGTGTGTGTGTGTGTGTGTGTTGGCATGCACATGTGAAGCAGTACCCTTTGCCAAATCTACCTTGCTTGATGTAGGCCTATAAAAATTCTATTAGCGGCCAACATGGTGCTTCTAAAAGACGTTGTGCACACCAACTAAACAGCACCAACACATGCATAATATACAACTTCAACTGGTCGATAACACAGCAAACACCTGCAGAGCTGCTAAAGAAAAGAGAGAGGAGGCTTACTGATGTACGACTACTGCCAAACTCTTTGTATAGTCTTCTGAATACCTGTTTCAGAAGCAATGTGAATCTGTCACTGACTGCCCTTTTCACTCCCTCTCCCTCTTCCTCCAAATGCTTTCATGTCCTCCCTGAATGGCCTTTGCTCTATCCCTCCCTGCTTCCCCTTCTTCTTCTTCGTCTTCTCTCCTCTTCCAGATCACTTCTGGTGAAGCCTCCTTCCCTTTCCTAGAGCCCTTTCCTCCCTTCTCTTGGTCTCCTTTTTTATCTTGGAAGTCCTCTCTCTTCCTCCACACAATGTACTCTGCCAACCTCTGTCTCTCCAATGCCTCTGCCTTCTCACGCGCCACCACGTCCTCTCGCCTCTTCCAAATTATCTCTCGCCCCCCCTCACCCCCTCCCGCGATTGCTCGCCCGTTCTCCAGGCTGCCTGACTTAACAGTTTGTTATTTTAATATATTAAAGTTGAACCGTGCTTTTTTGCCTTTCTACATAAAGATTGTGGATAGTTAGAGGCCAGACATGGTGGCTCTAGAAAAACTGACAGATGAAAAGTTTGTACTTAAGACTGGGCTGGCAGAGTTGAGCCCATTCCTGAATTAGGTTACTGATATGGCTAAAACAAGAGCCGGCCTTGGTTCAAGTTTGTTCCCTAAAACTGGCCACCTAGGTAAGAATGCCTTTTTTTGTTTTCTGAAGCACCATTTGATAGTGGTACGTTGAGTCTGAGATGTTGCCAGTGTCTGGTACACTAACACACACTGCAGTAGCACGGCGGTGATGTAACACTGCAGAATGTAGGTCACAGGATGATGGTGACTACTAGCAGGCTTGTAGTGATGATGATGAGCCCTGACAGCTCTGGTTTAGACTTCCTCACTTAGGGTTCCCTGAATGGAGACTCACTGATGTTTAACATGAACCCAATGCACTTTGCACCAACTTGCTTTAGCACTTCCTAGTTCAAACAGCAAGCCCAGATTACCTGAGAGAAGAGTGTTGATGCAGACATCTTTAATATGCGCAAACCCAGATTTATATTCATTCCTTATCTAAGGCAAACCTTCCAGTGCTCAAACACTCTTAAACATCTCATGTTCTGCATAGTCCAACCTAGAAAAGACAGTCTGTTTGCATTAACAGTCTCCTTAAACTCCAAATCCCTCCAATAATTCAGTCTGAAAACAGTTCAACCTCAGAAGGAGGCAATGCTACACCAACAGTCGCACCTCATGAGGCACTATTCATCCATGCCTATTTAAGGTGTCCTATTTATCTAAACAATTTGCACCAAAGTTTCAATAATTGCAGGCAAGCGGCTTATTATATGCCTTCCTTCCACACTAACATTTAAATGATCTACTAGGCCTGAAGTGACACCACTCAAGATTGAAGTGGGCGCTGGATTCATGGCAGAGGAACAGTCGCCTACACAAGTCTAGCACCTCAGAGGGATTGTCTAGCAACTCTAGCTAGTCATCCATCTGGTGTTGGCCAAAAAGCACCATGGAGGATCCAGTCATACTAAAGCACTGCCAGTTGAAAAGGCTGGGATGAGCTCCAGAAAGCTGTAAAGAACTATGGCTGGACAAACATACCCAGGCAAATATTATCCATAACAACTAAAATTCCAGAAAAAAGATTAGCACTTTGAAAAGGCAACAGATCCAGTATGCATGGATAAGCAAGTAGTACAAAAGAAACTACAAGTATTCTTTAACAAAAGCGTAGCAGACCTGGTATATGTTTTTTAGTGCTCTGAACACAGTGTAGGTCAGGTGACAAAGATGACGACCCTCAAAATGGACAGAAATCCTGAGTCACCAACACACCATGAAGCACAGCCTTGAGGCCAAGCAGCTGTACTCACCGATAAGTACAAGAGAAATCAGAATGATAATTCAGTTATCCAGTAATGCCTGATAGCAGCAGATCAAGCTTGACTGATAAACTGGATAACTCTACAGAAAGGGTAAAAGGGTATAGATGACCTGAAACAACCCTGAATCAAAGACTAGAGAATAAAGTAAAAGTCCAGTTAAAAACAAACAAGATGCAACTATAACTAGCTATCTATAAAATGTGTACAAAAACCAAATGGAACAGCACCAGTTTTGAAAAGACAAGGACAAAAAGAAAAGATTTTTACATCATGTTCTGTCTGCAGCCCGTTGCGATGGCAACAGACATTAAGAGAAATGCCTGCAGAGGATTTATGCCAAGAAGTCCCAACAACAGCAGAAATCTTCAAAGAGATAACTGCTTTGGCAAGCAATTATCTGCTAGCTGTTGCATCAAAGATTCTACATTAGAGCTTTTTTTTTTCATCCAATGGCAGGAAAAAAAAAAGAACTAGAGTCTCTTAGATCAATACAGTTCAGGAAATGACCAAAGTTTGACCGACATCGCACCAGCCATAAAACCCAATCAATTTTGACATCTCCACTGGCTGAATGCACCGACTCCAGTTGGAGTGATAAATGTAACAATATTGCAAGAACAGCAACAAAATTCAGATTAACAGTATGCTGTAAAGAACAACATCATTATGCTTGACTTTACAAGACAACTAATGCTAAGAAAAGTTGCATAAAAACCACCTGAATATTCTCTGCAGCAGTTAAAGATGATTGTATAACATAACTCCTGCTGCTGAGTAGATCTTATTCTGATAGAAAAATCTGAAAAGTAATACAATTTCTCTGTATAAATCAAGTCTAACAAATCAAGTCTAACAAATCTGCCTTTTTAAAAAGAATGGCAAAATATTAGTAGTTCGTTTTTTGGTTTATAAAGCATGCAGTTGATAAGTAACAGCCATTTATATAAAGCCAATTTCCATATTAATCTGAAAGCCACATTAATGTTTAAACATCCCCGGACTGTCCGAACATCCGTCCTCTCCCTCTGTCTGGCTCTCCTTTCCTCCACTCCCTGACATAGAAAAAAAAAAAAAAAACGTGCTTCTCTTCTGATCAACTCTTCTGTTTGATCAATTCACAAAGTCATTGCCGGTAGCTTTTCTCCATCTATCCTCTCCTCTGTGTTCTCTTCTTTTTCTTCTTCTTTTTCTTGTCCCCTCCCCCGTCTCTTCCTGTCTTTCAGCAGATGGTGAAACGGCAATGCTGCCAGGATGGACAATGGCACTCCTTCATTGTGCTCCCCTTCTGTCTCTCATGCCCACTTCCCTTCCACCTCTGTCTGTTGGAGGGACGAACACGCTGTCTCCCCTCCTCCCCTCCTCTCCGTCTGGGTGGGTGATGCTGCCTCCCATTTTCTCTCTTACCGTCTCTCTTCTCTTCCTCTCTCTCTCCCTCTCAGACACACATGCATGCGCCGCTGTATGTGCCCTCCCCACCTTCTTTTCTCCCATGCTACCTCCTTCCTGTTTCCTCCCCCAGCTCCTCTCTGCAGCCAGTCATTTAGCAGAGTACATGTGCATGCACAGCGAGATGCTGCTCTCCTGCACGTTAATGCACACACTCCAGGGAGAGATGGGGATGTGGAAGAAGGAAGGAATAGAAGAGAGGGTGGATGTGTGCGTCTGTGTGTGTGTATGTGGATGTGTGTGTGCGGGAGCGTGTATGTGCGTGTCAGTCTGGGCTTTATGATGTTTGTGGGACACAACTCCTCCCTTATTCATGTTTGGTAACCGGAGAAACAGTTAAAGAGTGAAAAGAAGTGCAGCCCCTCCAATCACATGGTGGACAGTGTGACAGAAGGTCACACTACTTAACCTTGATGAAAGCAGACAGGGAAAGGTAAAAACTTACACCTACAGTAGATGTGAGACTAAGCCAAATCATTTCAGAACTCTATCTGCCTTTAAGGTGACCTAACACCTTTTCCACTCAATTCAGAGAGAAACTGAAATCTTCCAGGTGGGGGATAAAATTAAGTAAAATGTAAAAAGACTAAATCCACGTAGTTGCATGAGTGTGCACTTCCCCTTGCATTTGTGGATGTGGCTGTGCTCAAAATTAACAACCACATTCAAACTGATGTTTAATAAGAGTCAGTCCTCAACTGCTATCTGAAAACCCAACATAAATTTCAGCTGATCTAGTGTAAGCCAGGTTCCACTGACTGATATCTTTCAGAAAGGTATCAGTCAGGAGAAAGGAACGAATGAATTTCTAAAGTATTAAAGCCCTGACGTACTTCATCCTAAGTACTAAAATCAGCTCTCACTGATGTATATTTAGACAGTGCTCTGTGAAAAAGTGTCAGACTGTTCAGGAGTTACTTGCCATGTTCTATGCGGAAATGCACTCAGACATCAATGCTGACATTTCTCTTCAACTAGTCAGCTTCCACTATCCAGTTTTTGTACCTGCAGGAGACATGAATACTTTTGGGTAACACTGAACTAACACAGTGAGGAGTTATGTACATTTGTATGAGTCTTCACTAAATAACTAAGACAGGAATATGGTTAATAACTCCTGAAAGGAAAAGGAACATGTAATGTTGTTGTTCAAGGAGGAAGCTGTCTGCAGGAAAGTGTGGCATGTAACTGACAATTTGTAACCAAAACAGAGGATGCAGGGAGGAAAAGAGGGATGTGGGAGTCCGGGAATGACGTATACAAAAGTGGGAGAGGTGTCCCTCAGGTGGTCTGTGCCATTGTATGAAAGGTTTGTGCAAATACGAATGGTCAGTCACATTGTCTGTTTGGCTTGGAGTGAAATATGTTGGGGTCCTGTATGAACAAAGTGAGAGCAGTCATCATGAAGAGGAGAAAACATGGAGCAACAGTGATATCACTAAGAAGTGAATGTCACTCCACAACAGATTAAGAGAAAACTGGTCAGGGAGGCTGAAATGAGGTCTACAGGTACATTTCAAAAATTTCAAGCAACTACTATGGCTATGTTGTAGACTCCCCAGCAATCCTTATGTTTTAAATTTCCCTGCTGTGGTGTAAGGTGGCAAGAAAGAAGCAGTCTTAAAAACAAACATCTATCCTCGACAAAAAAACATTTTAAATTGCATTTATGTGGCAATAAAGTGTGGGATAAATGTGTTTTAGGGTTTGAAAAGAAAAAAAAATATTATTCCCACAAGTATACTTGGCACCAAATCAGCTATGAACGTCACTAAAAGAACACGATGTTCAAAGTGAAGCATGGTGCTGGCTGCAACACTAAAATTGTGCATCCTCTAACAAACAATGGCTAAATTAGGGGCTGCACAACTAAAGGACACTAAACCTAAATTTGATGTAAAACTTTGGATTGAAACACTAACTTCATAAAATCCACAAAAGTACCAGTCAATGGTAGCACAAAACCCTGAGACTCCAATGCTTCAAATCAAGAGCAGGTTTAGGGTTGTTAGGACAGCCTATTATGGCTGACACTGCTGCAATACAATGAAAAGATACTTCAACAAAGCATTAATGTATGGGTGTGTACACCAATGCAAGCACTTTTCTGTATCATGTTTAGTACTTTTTCTTGGCAAACATTTGTTTTTGATGAGTTCTACAGGCTACAGATCATTAAAGGGAGGGAAAAAAGCTCTGAAATGAGTTTAGCCTAATGTTTTACATCACAAGAATCTGGCAATTAAAAAAAAAACTGCTGCCACTACACATCATGCATAACATGACTACAGCTACAGGGGAAAGTACAGAAAGACAAGATATCCAAGAGATTGACCCCAATATTCAAGCATATCTGATAAGACGTCAGTGTTGCAGAAAAGCAGAAAGCTGCAGCAGAAGCTCAGCAGATCTCGAGTGGATAGTACAGAAAGACTTCCTGCAACACACAAGAATCAAGTAACTACATGTGTTCAGACTTGCGTCGATTACGACTGGTTAGTGGTGAATGGTGAGAAAGTTAGCCTCCACCGTACCCACAACCAGTGAAACACAAGAAACAGTGGCCTAGGGCAGACAAAAAATCCTCTTCAGTTCCTCAGAACTGCAGCACTTTTGGTTAAAAATAAAAAGATATTCTGACTAAGACAACAGTTTAGATTCTCAGCTGTAGCTTATAAAGAGTAGAAATCTTGTTTTAAGACTTAGGTCAAAAGCAAAAGAGGAACTAGTTTAGCTCTTTGCTTACATTTTGATAAAACAGTTCCCTTCCATGTAAAAATACAGGAAAACCTCAAGGTCGGTTAGATACACCACAGCGCCTCACAAAAGTGTCAATAAAACCTAAGACTTTGATGTACAAGACACTGTAAAGTGTATGAATACTGTTGTCTTTCACTTTTTTTAACAAGTCAAATCTGAAAATTGTGACGTGAATTTGCATTTTACTGTTATTTCCTTGAATAAGATTTCAGTGTAGCCAGTCGCTTTCAGAAATCACTGAAGTAAACCAAGTTCCCTTGTGTGGAATTTAATGTTAATATAAATCCAGCAGATCTGTTAAGGACTCAAGGTCTAAGAGGTTTGTTAGAGAACATCAGTGAACAGAAAACATAATGAAGACTAAACCTAAAACTGGAATCAGTGTGACACAACTGCAAACTAGAGATGTTTCATGTATGTTGCTCCCAGGATCAACATTAAATGAAGAATGCTCACATATAAAAATGTGTGCTATTATTAATGTACAATATTAATAGAGCAGTTATGGCCAATCACATGTATTCATATAATGTTGCAGCCAAATAAATTTCTACATTTCATTCACACAGCCTCAGTCACTGATTTATCTCCTCCGCTGTACAAGCCACTGATGGATGTCCTTTGTAAAATGTGGCTCAATTCTAATTCTTAACTTGACGGTGCCCTGTGTGCCTTTTCACTCTTCACTTAAATGTACACTACACACTACTACCAAGTCTATGTTCTTTTCCTCGAAGTCACCAACAAAATATTGCTTTAAGACTGTGTAACTAGTAAATTTCTAAACATGTATTTAAAAGATGTGCAGCAAATATGCCCTCCAGGTTTATCAATATTTAGCTGTTTTTAAGAACCGTAATCTACTGAGTTTTGCTCTGTTTCATGCTAAAAAGCTATTTATCATATTTTAAAGCCAGAAAACCTAAAAATCTTCAAAACATCTCTCATTTGGCTTTCCTTTAGTTTTACAAAACAGATATTCAATGCTAAAATCCACTTATTTGACTCTTTTTGAATAATGCTGATTAAAATCAGCATTACCAGTCAATGAACCATTGACTGTAGGGTTGGGTACAGTGATGTAATGGCAATTTTTTTATATAATATTGAGGTGCACCCAACAACAAATTTTGTGAATTATCACATGAACCTCAGCAAATAATCAATCACTGTGGTATATTCTATTTACCATTAGTATAATTTGAATATCATACCACATATTCCATCTGCCACCACAGGCTGCCTGTGAATCTACGGCACTAAAAACACATCAGCAGATGAAGACAAAGACATTAAGCACAGAATCCTAGCTGCAGAATGCTCCGATGATGCCCTTACAGCTACTCAATCCCCAGCATGCTTTGCTCCCAGAATCAACTGTTAAGAAAATCATGAGACTGCCTTGATACCACTGGCGCAGACACATACAGAGCAATAACTGAGGAGGGAGAAAGTAGTGAAAGTCAGGGCAACCAAGGAGAAACAGTGACAAAAGAAAGGCAAAAATCCACACAACATGTTAAAACACAACTTGTGGAATGAAAGGAATTACCTGCAAAGAAGCCATAAGTGAAATATTTCTGTTTCAGCTTGCCCAGTGCAAGAGAGCAAGAGATTGATTTGATTGATTTGATAGACCGAATGACTCTTTAAACACAACTTTAAATCGGTATTTATTGAGTCAAACAGTAAAAAAAAAAACTAAGCAAAGTGGTCTGGATTTCATATACACTTTGCATCAGCTGCCTGAAGACTAATTCAAGCCGTTTAATACACCAGAACGCAAATGAACTGATAAGTTTTGACAGTCGCTTGGCCGTTCTCATACTTTTATCATCTGTGGCACAGTTAGCCATTAGAACGCATTAAAAACAAAACGTCGTCCAGAGAAGAGAAAGAACATACAGAATTTGTGTTGCTGAGAAAAGACATGGCTGCATGCAAAAGCAGCTGAAAAAAAAATCTATTACATTAGCAAAACTCAGGCTGAGACATTAGATTAGCCAGACATTCAACAGGACGTCTCTCTCTGCTTTTTTCACAGCTCACTACACACACAGCAAACATGTGAGATGGCTATTTTTGGTTGACCCACCCCCTCCCACAATCACTCCACTAGCCACAGACCCTCATCTCTATCTCCTTCCATCCTTCCCTTTCTGCTACACTCAACTTCATTTAATCTACAACTTTCACTTACATCTTCCCAGTTGCTTGCTTGTTTGTTTGACCACTTAATTTAAATTGACTAGATAAGTACTTTCATATTAAATCACGAGGAAGCCAAAACGTATGATATTCTGACTGCATCATCTTGTTTTATTTAAACACGCTTCAATTAAATAGTTGTACATCAAACATAACATTTACCAACTTTAAACTATTTTCCAACCTAAAAAGTAAAAACAAAAATGCTTGTTTTATGCTTGTTTTTATTCAGGAATTGAGGTTTAAATAAATTATAGAAATGTTGTTACTGAAACTAGTCAAAATACCAAACCACAATCAATGCCACTTATCAACTGAATAAGAAAATGATGTATGGAACCCTAGACATAATGGCATTTATTGATTTTCATCTATTCAGTTATCTTTGATATGTTCAGTGCCAGTGGTATTTTTTCCAACCTTGTGTATTCTCATTGCAGAATTTATACTGAGGCCCTATATTTTTTTTTACAAATTGATTTCAAATTTGTAAATTACAAAGAACAAAATCAAGAAGTGAAAGTATTTCTACAAGATTGTTATAACGCTCTTGTTTCTTCTTTAAAAATACAGTTTAAAACTTGTTAATTTAATACAGTTTAAAATTATTTGTGAATAACCACAGCAT